TAGCCATAGCTAATTAATTAAGCGTTTTATTTAAAGTTAATAATACCTAACTGCCTAGCTTCTATTATAAATATATTAAATATATTAATAAAAATAGTATATTCTTTAGCCTCTGTGTAGAAATTAAGCTATAATAGGGCGTAAATACTAAGAGTATGCTTATAGTAAAGTATATTATATAAAATAAAAAGTAAAACTATATATTTACCTTTTTTAATATTACTATATTTAGACTAAGTAAAGTTATTTAAATAAATAGTTACCCTACTAGTAATATAGCTGTAGTAAATTAATACTTTATACTTAGAACCACCTCTTTTCCTAAAGTAATTATTATTATTTACTAAAATAATAAATACTATAACCTTTTTTTTAGCCTAAAAGCAACTTTATAATTAGTAAAGTATATTAAGATCTTTATAAAAGCCTTTACTTATACTTTACTAATAGTAAAAGCCTTTAATATTACTATTATCTACCTACTAATATTTTAAAATTAACTCCTTAATTTCCTTAAGTTATTATAAAAGGTTATATAAAATATATAAAAGTAACTTACTAACTTATTAAAAAATAAAGCTACTGCTATATAATTTTTTATATTTACTATATTAACTAACTAAGAGTTTTACTAAAAGTATTTTAAAACCCCTAATTTTTAATATAATCCCTATTATACTTTTATATATTTATATAAAGTAAAAAATATTAATAATTTAAACTATAATAATATTATACTTAATACTATTATTAAAAATTCCTTTATAAATAAGCTTATATATATATTTATATTATATAATAAATAAATAGTCTCCTTTATTATAGGTATAGTTAATAAAATAATATAGTTAACTAAATAAGTTATTAACTACTCTTAAATACTATATTATATAAGTATATTCCCCTTCCTAGGATTAAAGTAGACTAAATAAAATATAAACGTAGATATATATAGTATTATTATAAATAATAAATTATAAGTATATATTATTACTATTAAGCTTAACTAGAAAATAAAGTAAGAGTAACTGCTTAATATTAGCTTAAGCGCCTGCTTATTTCTTAGTATAGTATAATTATTTTATAAAATACTAAACTTTAAGCTTTCTATTAATTAAATTTAGTTAATTACTACTGCTATATAAAATAAGCTATATAAGGCACTTATTAAAGGCAAGAATACTAAGGATAATACTTAAAAGTAGCTTAATAAGCTTTATAATTATAAGGTAATAGAGGAATAAATCAGCGCCTAGTAGAATATTATTAATACTATTATAAATAAGACCTACCTATATATTATAGTAGAAAAGCTTTTTAAATATATTTTTAAAGTCTTAGAAAATATTATTTAGTAAATACTTTTAGTAAGTAATAAATTCTATTATTTATTAAAGGCAGAGATAATTACTATAAAACTTTACCTAATAATTATAAAAAATAAACCTACTTATTATAAATATATTTAAGTATAGCTAGGTAAATAATATAATATAGTATACCCTAAAATTAATTAAGTCTAAGGCAAATTATAAAAAGCTACTTACCTTAATATACCTATAGGAATTTAATTTAATATTATAATTTTTTACATAAAAATACCCTATTAGCCTAACTAGCCCTATAGCCTAAAAGCACTTTTTATAATAATTATATTACCTATTATATTTATATCTATAAGCCTTTAAAACTACTAAAATAACTTTATATATTTAAATATAATATAATATATTATAGCTAAAATAAAGTATAATATTAATAATAAATTTACTTATTTTAAGGTAGGAGCTGTTTATTATATAAATAATATTAGTAATTTATCTTAGGCTGCTAAATAGTAGTTATTTATATAAGCTTTTAAAAATAAATAAATAAATTATTAACTTAACCTTTTAAAGATATTTCCTAGTATTAAAGATTATATACTACTTAGTTATTTCTTTAAATAGTATAAAAAAGCTATTTAAAGCCTATTTATAACTAACTTTAGTAAGGTTTTTATTACTAATAGCCCTAGCTTAGGGAAGTCTACTTTTACTATTAGATTAATAAGCGTAGTATTAAATAAAAATATTACTAATATAATAACTACTTTTATTACTAAAGTACTTAAGAAGTAAAATAAAAAGAACTAAGTAATAAACCTTATAGGTAACCTGCTTAATAATAATAAAAATACTACTGCCTTAAATAAGCTGCTTAATAATAATAAAAATACTACTGCCTTAAATAAAACTAAAAATAATAAAGCTAAAAATAATAAGGCTAAGAATAATAAAGCTAAGAATAGTAAAGCTAATAATAATAAGGCTAAGAATAAATAATCTAATACCTAGGCCTTTTTAAATAATATTATTAATACCTAGGCCTTTTTAAATAATATTATTAATACCTAGGCCTTTTTAAATAATATTATTAACACCTAGGAATCTATAGATAACTAAGGAGCTGCTAATAAATCCTAGGATATACTTTATAAAAAAATAAATATAGCTAACGCCCTGCCTTAATATATAATAATATTATAAATAGCCTTTTAAAATACTTAAGTTATAAATACTATTAAATACCTTAAGTAACTAATACTAGATAAAGTTATTATTTAAATCTATATATAAGAAGTAGAACTTAAATATTTTATAAGCCTTAAGACTTAAGTTACTAAGGTAATAAAGATTATAAAGGATATAACTAGTGCTTAAAAATACCTAGTAGGCCTTATAAACTAATACTATTATACTAGATTTACTAAATAAAGCCCTACTACTGACTTATATTTCCTATTATCTTAACTTAAAGTAATAGTTTAATTTAATTATTAAATATATATAGAAATTATTATAGTATAGGAAATATATATAAAAAATTCTATTACCTATTAAGTTAATCTTACTAATTATAAAAAAAACACTTATACCTTTATAAAGAAATTTATATACTTAGTATATATAATTACTAAAACTTTAGTTATATTAATAAATCTTTTTAACTATCTTTTATTAAACCTAAAGGTCTTAAAACTAGCTTTAGTTATTATTAATAAGGCTAGTTAACTTATAAAGGTAATAATATTTATCCCTTTTACTTAATATTCTAATATACTTATTATATTTATTAATAATATTAAATAATTTAGGCTTATAGTTATTATTATTAGTAATAAAGAATATAAAGCCTTATTTATAAAATAAAAATAACATAGCTTTTTAAAATAAGTTTAGGATATAGGATATATTAATTTTATATTATTTATAAATTACTAAGCTTATAGTAATATATATAATTAAGTACGTAAAGCCCTATATATATTTAATATAAAAATAGTTAATAAAAAAATAGATACTTTATTATTATTTACTAATAAGTACTTAATAAAATTAAGAAAAGCTATTATTAAAATATATAATTAATTATAAATATAATTTTTATTAATATAAATAATAGCTAAGAGAAAAAATAGAATATTTTATATATTAACCTAACTAACGCCTACTTTATTATAAAGCTTATTTTATAATTAGTAATATTAACACCCCTGTTTTTAATAAATTTATATATAGCTAACTATTTTAATATAATTAGTTATTATAAAAGTTACTTAAAGAAGTTTAAGGTAGAAAATACTAATATAAAAAATATTATTTATATATATACCTAGGGATATATCCTAATTATTATAGAATATAGTAAATAAAAATACTTACTAAAGTAAACCTTTTTTAAACTCCCTAAGGCTAAAGTTTTTTATAAATTAGTCTTAGTCTAGATTATAGATAACTTACTTAACTATTAGGCTAAAGTAGTAATTTATAATTTTATATATATAGAAAAACCTAGCTTCTTAGTTAAAGATAAATACCTAGTAATTATAATAATATAAGCTAGGGTATTTATAATAATAATTAGTAAAGCTAAGATTATTAAAGGTAAAAATACTTATTTTCTTAATAGCTTTTATAAATACCTTAAAGGCTATAATGCTATTCTTAAGGTTACTAGATAGAATAAATTTTATAATATTTGCCTAATACCTAGTTATTATTAGATAAACTACTAGGTAGTTATAGTTTACTATAATTATAATAGAGACTATATAGGTTAATACTACCTAGATATTAGAAATATATTAATTATAGACTTAGTAGTTTTTTAAAATATTCCCCCTTTAGATAATATTTATTAAGGAGTATTTTCTTTAATTAAGTTTAGAAAGCTACTATAATTAGTTAAGAAAATAAAGGCTAAATAATAGTAAATAAAGGATATAGCTATTATTAACGTATATATAGCCTATATATAAAAGCTTATTATTAAATATTAAAGCTACTGTAAAGGCTTAAAATAACCTATAATTATAATTAATTAATTTAAGTAAGTATTTATACTTAACCCTTTATTATTTATAAAGGAAGCTACTGCGCTTAATACTTTATAAAGAAATAATAATAAAAAATTTAATAAATTTAAGATTAAGCTTATTAACTAAGTAAAATTTTAAGTAGCCTGGGATTAAATAGTAAAAAAGTAAGGGAAAATAAAATAAAAGGATAGAATAGGAGAATAACTTATATAAAATTATATTATAGTTAAGGATTTATTTATTACTTATTTAAGCTATTTTTTTTTTATTTTTCTTTTAAGTTAAGGATTTCCTTTATTTTTTTTTTAAATTTAAAAATTAAAAAAAGGAATTTTATATACTAAATTTACGCTAAAGAATAGTTATAAATTTTATAATAAAAATATTATAATTATTTTTTATTAAGGGGTTATTATATAACCTACTGTATACTTAGCTAATTATCCTACCCCTCCCTCTTTTACTTAGTTCTTCTTCTCTTTATCCTTATTATATCTAGATTTTAGTTATATAGCTTATATCCTATATTTAAGCCTAGTGCCTTTGGTCTCTTATATTCTTCTTCTTTCGTTACTTTCCTCGTGATCCTTTGCTTAACCCTCGCTTGATCCCTCACAGGACCACCAACATCCCGTGGAGCATGAAGATTCTGTCCGTCATACTTGTCAGTTTGGTTGGCTTTGGATCTCACTGGAGCAGCGGAGTGACGGGAGCCATGAAAAGCACCCTGAAAAAGGTTGGTTCCTGTCTCTTGTTTTGTATCTGATTGAGAATTGCCATTAACAGAATCATAGGAGCTACACATCAACAACGCCCAATATGCCACCTTGGATGCGAGTGAAAACTTCATCAAGACAGCTCTGATCCTTGTCAGCGGTGTTGTCACAGACCGAATTGGCGGTGCAAGTACGTATAACTTCCCGTCATGCTTCTGAAATTGCATGGATTGTGAACTAACACTCATCAACCACCAGGAGCCATGCTTTGGGGCAACGCCGTCTACAGCGTCGGAGCCATTCTCATTGCGGCGGCCACCCAAGTCCGCAACTTCAAGTTCATGATCTTTGGCAGCGTCGTCCAGGCACTTGGCGATGTCGCTACCCAGTGCGCGCAGTACAAGGTCTTCTCATCGTGGTTCGCTCCCTCAAACGGATTCGCCTCGACCCTTGGCTTTGAGTTGGGGCTTGGTAAAATCGGCAGCTTCGTTGGCCAGGCATCTGCCAACGTCATCGCCAAGAACACTGGCAATTTCAGTTGGGTGTACTGGTGTGCCGTCTTCATTAACCTCTTCACGAACGTGGTAACTGTCGGCTTCTACATCTTCACAAATTACTGCGAGAGACGATACGCCGGCACCAACGATCCGGCAACCGGTGAAAGACTGACGGAGAAGAACAAGAAGTTTGAAATCACCAAGATGCTACGACTTCCCTGGCCGTTCTGGCTCGTGGCCCTGTTTTCTCTCTTCCAGACGTCCGTTGCCAGCGTCTTCTCCTCCAATGCGACCGAGTTTGCTCAGAAACGTTTCAATATTTCTGCCGTCACCGCAGGCTGGTATTCAGCAATGTCCCAGTACCTCGGATTCTTCTTGGTGCCTCTCCTGGGCATTTTCATCGATATCCTAGGCCAGCGGAACACCATTATTCTGGTTTGTGGTCTTGGTATGCTGCTTTCCATGTGCCTTGCCGCCTTTGGTCCTACCATTGGAGGTACTGCAGCCAGTTTCGGCATATATGCGTTTGCGGCTTCACTCGGTCCCACGGTCATCATTGACAGCATCCGCACCAGTATGTGGTACCAGGAAGTTTTCGGTTCTGGGTATGCTATCAAGATTGCCATCAACAACAGCATGACAATCATCATCGGCATCGTGGCTGGTGTCATCCAAGACCACGACGACGACAGCTACAACCGGGTCATTATCCTCTACGTCGTCCTTGCAGCGGGCTCTGTCGTCGTAGGCGCGATCATGGTTGGCCTCAGCTTCTTCAACCCTACAATGGGCAGGCTACAGTGGACACGAAAGCAGAGGATCATCAGGGGCGAAAAGATCAATGCCCTGAAAGAAGATTTTGAACAAGGAAGCAACCGTGAGTTCCAGAAGAAGTTGAGCATGTCTTGCTTCGCTGCTACGATAGTCCTATTGTTGGGAGCTTGGGCAACCTACTTTTGGGGAGTGGCCACAGGCCATAACAACTAGATTACGAATAATGAAAATTTCTTAGACGTGTATAAAGCAATAATATTAGACACCTTTCTTGTTAATCCTACTCTCAAACAATGTAAATTTTGACACCCTTTCGGAAGGCGACTGATACAGTGTATAAGTTCCGTACTCTATTAGTATTATTATTATGGCTCTCAATCTAATGCACATTCTATATATGCCAGTGTCATTGGGCATTCTTCAAGGTCGACGCGCCCAATTGTCTATAATACGCTTTTACAACCCACACCATGCTTTTAACGTGATGTGCGCAGAGCTGCAGTGACAGTTACTCCAACTCTTCAAACAAGATGATGCTTACTTTCTCTGCATCCGGGCTTGCTTCCGCCAACCAGCAGCAAATTTCCACTGGATGGCCGGTCCTAGAAGCGCAACGAACTGTACAATGGCGCAAATGGTAAATGCCAGTCCAACGCCAATACCGTTCACCATTGGCATCACAAGGCTGGTGCCGCCGGCAGCAAAAAGACATCTCGCGAGGTTCAAGCTGGCGCTGGCCGCGGCGCTCCGGTCTGAAAAGATGTCGACGAGGTATGTCATGATGGTGGATTGCGTCGAGACGGCGGTCCAGCCAGTGATGAATGTGGATATAATGGGAATCGCGATGGGGACACGATGAGGATAGTTGATTGTCCAGCCGAACAAGAGAATCGACAGACATTGGATGATGGAAAAGATGGGAATCAGACGCAAGCGAGCCTTTTCAATGGGGAAGTCTTCCTCCGATTGAGTGGCAGAGCGTGTAAGTTGGCTGCCATTTTCAAGATCCGCCTGGGCCACTTGAGCGTCATAGGCGGCCTTGACTTTTTTGTAGTCCTTGTCGAGGATTTTGCCCGTGATGAGGGTTCCTACCATGGAGCCTACTCCGTTGGCAATGAATGTAAGACCGATTTGCGTCTCCTTCAAGTTGTACTTTTGCTCAAAGAGAGTTGACATGGCAGTGATGCTCATTTGCCAGACGGCATAATAGATGGACAGGAAGACAATAATGGGAGTGGCGTGCTTGCTGATGAGGATTCGGAACGGACCGAAAATATCAATTCTTTTTTTCGCATCTGGCGCTGCGGTAGATGCCTCCCGGTTCCATTCAATTTTTGAGAGTCTTTGGTATATGGTAAGAGGATATCTTCCGATGAGCGATGACGGAGTTCGGCTGCCGTTTGCGACAATGGATCGAAGGGTTTCGGGCAGAAAGACAATGAGGAACAACAAGAAACCACCACCATATGCTGTCAAAAACCAAAATATAGCCTTCCATCCTAATGACCCAGCAATAGCACCTCCAATCACAGGACCAATGGCGACGGGAACGAGCAAGCCGGCTTGGAAGATGCCCATGAGACTTCCGCGGTTCGCTCGAGTGGTGATGTCTCCAATGACACCAGAGCCAATAGCAATTGTGCTCGCACTTCCTGTGCTTTGGAGACATCGGAGGACAATCAGAGTGGCATAGTTCTTGGTCTCAGCAAGGCCGATACATGCACCAACGAAGACGAGAAAGGTACAGCAGTATGCCACTCGACGTCCTTTGGCATCGGAAACGGGACCCCACAGACTGGGAGCAATTCCTTGGAAGATGAGGTATGAAGTGACTGTGAGATTGACGAGTTCGACAGAGACATTGAGGTCCTTCGCGATAGTTGGGAGGGCCGGGAAGTAGATGTTGGACGCGAATCCTGAGACTGCAGCAGAGAAGCTATTAGTAAACATGGAAACCTAACGGTATGAGCTCTAGTAAAATCCGAGCAATATACTTACAAGTTGCTGCTGTGGAGACTATAATCACGATAAAGGCCCTTTGTCGACTGTCGAATATGCTGTAAGGCTCGTTTGCCTCTGGAGTCAATGGTGGCGTTATTGTGGGCGAAGCGTTTTCAACATCTTGTTCATTATCAGGTTTCGATGACATTTTATTCAATCCTTATTTGTATTTTATTGGTTTACCAAAAGACGATGTCATATTCGGCTCGATCAAAGAACTCAATCGTTCTATATACCCTCTGCAGGGGCAAACACAAAACGGGCCTCGGAGCTGAGGACTGGTATGTCGGAGTTGAGCGTGCAGCACTCCGGAGTTGAGCTACAACACCGTCTCGAAGCATCTAATCACATTCCACCTACCATCCATATTGGAACAGGACTTGATGACATTCAGCAATACAATGTCCGGATATTTCCGGAGCTGATGCACATTCTCTCCAGAATCAACTGATAGAGCCCAGTTTCAGCAACAACAACGGGGGAGACCCAAAATAAAGCAGCATGATTGCTCATATTCCCAAGTCCGCTTGCTTCAAAGCACACACTTCCATTCGCCCATCCAGCAAAAATGTCGTCCGCGAACACCAACGGCTCCCCCCTGAGCTTCGGCAAGCGATATGCTGTGCTGAACCTTGATTTCATGAACATCCTGTTCGACATTGCCAAGGGCACGCCTGAGGGAACGAAATTCGTGGCCAACTGTACTCGTTGGGTCGATGCGGTGCATAAGCGGGATCCTCGACCCCTAAACATCTTCACGACTCTGTACTTTACGAGCCCTTCTCAGGCTGAGCTTCCGGCAGAAGCCCCCTTTACCAGGCTGGTCAATGGGTTTACTACTTTTGATGAACATAATCCTGGCGTCAAGGTACCTGAGTATATGAACGTGGATGAACAGGATGTTGTCCTTCAGAAGATACGATGGTATGGCGGCGCAGGGAATAAGCTGGAAGATATTCTCAAGAAGAACGATATCGACACCGTTGTCATTGTAAGTCACCACCACGTAGTGTAATTGTCTCTGGGATATAATATTGATATAGCTAACTTTGTCTTTTGTACCAGTCTGGTCTTAGTCTCTCCGGTGTCGTAATGAGTACGGTCTATCGACTGTTTGATTTGGACTACAAAATCATTGTGATTTCGGACAACTTGTTGGAAATGCCAGTATCCCAGCATGAGCAATTTGCCGCTGTATTTTTGGATCATCTCATGCCGAAAATGAACCTCAAGGTCATTACACTCGAAGAGGCATTAGAGGCCCTTGAGCGTTCTTAGAATTAATTCCATAGTGCATTGATAAGTTGGGCTTAATGGCAGTGAATGAACGGGGCAGGTGGTGTATAGATTATCATTGAATTAGAGGCATGGGTAAAGTGCACCGTAATCCGTCAATTCACCCTCCATGCGTGCAGCTTGTGACTGCGTAGAGCATGGTGCCAAATTCGTCTAGATCTTCCAGCCAATTATCAACTCTCTGGCGCCTCCTCACAACCACCGATTCCTCTAGGCCTTCAGGGATCGGCCATAGTTCATTGATGCGAAGGCTGCCCTCGTCCCATACTGCGAGATGTATGTTGTACGCCGTTTCCCAGTCGCGCCGTGTCTGAGAAAACCACAGAGTCTTGCTCGAAACTGCCGGCAACCCTTCCAGTTCGATGCCGAGAAACGTCGGCAACCCATCTTCAGACGAGAGAACACTGTCAAAGAGGTACATGGTAAAGAGTGTTCGCCGTGAAGCCTCGGCAATGATCCAGCTTTCCCACTTGGGGCGCGTGCGCTGCTGCTCTGCCACGCACATGAGCCCCTGACGAGCTGTAACGCACGCCAACTCTTGTAGATTCATCATTGCTTGGCGTAGAAAAGGGCTGAGGCCTTGACTAAGCCGGAAGAAGAGGACCATGGTGTACATGAGATAGGCCTGGAATGCACTAAGCAGCGCCAGATGGTCATATGTATCACGCTGTTCAAACAGATTATTCATCTCCCTCTGCATAATCTCGGCAGTGACATTCTCGCTGCCCGGTAATGGCTTGTCACATATTCGGATAATGCTCAGACAAGACGACAGCTGCGGGTTTGGGCCCTGGGCCGTGAGCTGGGAGGTGTGGACAAACGGCGGAAACCCGCGGCCATGCACGGCCATGCCGGTGTACGACTTTAGCAGCCGGAAGATGAACGCCGCCACAGTAGGTGGGTAGCTTTTGACACTCTGGCCAGGGATTGGAATGTACGCGTTGAGCCATCGGTTGCTGATTTCCTCCGGGGTGATGGGGCAGATGAGATCGAGGTCAGAAAAGTCGAAAAACTCCGGCACCGAGGCTGGCGGATCGAGCGACTGCGTGACCGGCCACTCCGCCCTCGTGGCAGCCGGCGCTGAGAAGCTGATGGGGCTGTGATCCGCGAAGCCAGGGTGAACCGACGGCGTCGCTGGGTCTTGGGTGACGCCCGGCGGCGACAGTTCGTCGCGCTCGGGGCTGGGGAGAGAACCGCCAGAAGCGCGGGAGAAGCTGGGAATAGGGCTGGGGTTGCTGCTGCTGTCGACGAAGACGGGGATGTGAGATGTGGAAGTAGTGTGAATATGAGTCTGAGTCTGTGGCTGTGGTTGTAGTTTTGATGCCGAGGATGTGGATGTGATTGACGAGGGAGCAGAAGTAGAAGCGGAATGCGGATAAAGACAGGCGAGGCCGCGCTGGGCACACCTCGAGCAGCACCTCTCCTTGCGGTCACATCGTGCCTTGGCGACTGAACACTGTTGGCAGGCCTTTTGTCGAGAGGTGGCGTATCGGGTGGTCTTCATGACTTTGGCCGAGAAGAGCATTGATTGATTGCCTCTTGTATCAACTCAACTAACAAAGGCACAGTTGAGATGGAAGCATTAGGTAATGTTGATGATTGTTGATGATTATTAATCGAGGGTGAAGAAATGGAAGAATGTGTGGAACAAGAGAGAGAAGCAGCAGAGAAGAAGAGGGTTGAATTAATTTCACGATGACGGGAAGAGGGAGATCAACGACAGAACCGATAAAGTCGTCAATGCATGGGTGATTTTAGAGTTTGAAGATGCCATGCTTGATTCAGCTCAAGAGACTTTAGCGCCGCCGCCTGACTACATATGTGGCTCCATCTGGTTGCGAAAAGGTTTCAGTGATGCGATGCTGTGAAAGCCCGTTGGTACAACTCTTTCCGTGCTTGAGACAAAGAGTTTCGGACTTTAGAAAACAATTTCAATTTCGCGGACTTCGCGCAGGCACAAGTCGACTTGCGAAGTCCGAAACATGCCGAATCGCGTATAAAAGGTCAGCAGCAAATAGAGGAACCTAGACTAGGTACGGACAGTATCCGTCTAAATCTCCAGTTGTCAACACGGAGTAAGTTGCCCCTATAACGAACTAACCAACTACCTGCAACTAACTGTATTACATGGTAGTGTCGTACATAGTTGCGGAAAATTTCCCGCTCATCCACTGAATAGGATAGTATTCTGGCGGATTCTGGCGGACGGCGCCCTGTAACCTTATTGCCATCCAGGCCAACTGTATCTTACGCTCGCGTCCTAATCCCAGCACGCCATCACCACGCATCTGAATCCTTTATCCCTACTCTGAGCCTTAACCGGCATAGACTTCGCAGTATAGCGCCATTAGCGCTCGATCTATAGTGGACTATACCCCTAGAGCACGTCGTTTCGAGCTCCGTATGATGGATTGGGAATACATGTCCGGGCTCGGGTTGGCCCGGGCTGGAACAAGAGAGCCGGGGGTTTGAGTTGAGCCGAACAAGACTCGGACTTTTACTTTCATCTCCAATCATTGTCGATTTGTAACATCAAACGATATAGGATAATTATAGCTGGGCCATTTATATCATCATGCATTTTCTCTATTTATTGCCAGCTTTGGACCATAGTCTAATGCTTCTACTTTTACCTAGTTCTGTAGTTGCAGCGACGGCCCCAGCTTAATAACGTCTCCAGGTTGATACTTCGCCTCGAATCGATGCTCGCCATAATACACAGTCAACGACGATGCCGCAGAAGCCTTGAAAGTCACGTCGTCCAGCTTACCATCATGCCATTCGAAATGAGCCTCCAAACCGCCTCTGATTCGCATGCCGTCCACCGTTCCTTCAGACCAAGCCGCGGGTAAAGCCGGAAGCAGGTCTACCTCAACCGGCCCTCCCAGACGAGGAATAATAGATCGAATCAACATCTCAGAAATAGCCGCCGCGCCGCCGAAATTCCCATCAATGACGAAAATGTTCTTCTCAGCCCCCGCCACGCCCGGCTTGCTGTAGCTGAGCAGGTTATCGAAACTCAGCTCGCCCACCAAGTGACCAATCTGCGCAACAGCCTTCTCTGCGTCTCCCAGACGGGCATAGTTGAGAGCAAACAGGGCCGCCGTAAACTCAATGTCCTCGAGATCGTCGCGGCCTTGCCTTCGCTCCAGCGTCACACGCGCTGCCTCTGCAAGATCAGGCTGGTGCCGAGCGGAGATTAGCGCTGACCGGCAGAGGGCCATGGTGTGAGAGAGATGTCGATGGTAGGGCTGAGCTTCTTCAAAGTCGTGCAGCCACTCCTGGAGTTGACCATTCTTGCCAATCTGGAATGGGGGCAGCTTCTCCTGTGCCTCTCGATATAACCGGATATCGTCCTCCCAATTGAACTTTCCGCTGTTGGACTTGGTCGCGGCGTACTCGCAGAATGCCAAAAGGTCGCGGACTAAGACGACATCAAGAGTCGGGGCCAAGGCCGCATAGTGCTCTTCCCTTTCACCATTTTCGTTGACAATGAAGAAGCTGTTCTCTGGGCTTACGGATGGACCTGTGAGCAGCCTGCCCGTCTTTGGATCTTCAATCATGTAGTCAAGGAAAAACTTGCTTGCACCCGCCAACACCGGCCGTGCATAGCTGTCCATGAAAGCTTCATCAAGAGAATACTCAAACATTTCGATTAGATGGTTTGCCATCCAAAGGCCTCCCGTCACGTTTAGGCCGTACGAAACCTCCCAGCCGGGATCTGCAAAACCCCAGACGTTGCTGAAGACGTGGGCGACCCAGCCTTCAGAGCCATAACAGACTCGTGCAGCGTGTTGCCCGCTCGTAGCAAGTTTTATTAGATAGTTGACTAGAGGCTGCATGAGGTCGGAGAACCCGCCGTTGAGGATAGCAAAGTAATTCATCTGCGTGTTGATGTCGAGATGATAGTCACAGCTCCAACCCATTTTGCAGGCCTCGCCATCATTCCATAAGCCTTGAAGGTGTAGCGGCAGGGGTGAATCATGACGAGTACCAGCAATGGTAAGGTAGCGGGCATAGTGAAAGTAGAGCGCAAACATGCTGGGATCGGCATATCCGGAGGACTCAAAGTTCTGTCGACGCTGGTCCGTAGGAATGTTGGTAGTGGTGCTAGATTTCGATCCCAAAGAGATGCTCATCCGATTGTATAGAGGCTGATAGTCTTCCAGATGCGCTTTGAGAAGATCAGCTGCAGAGAGCTTAAAAGCAGCTTCCATCTGCAGAGGAGTTCTCTTTCTCCATTCGTCATTTGGCTCGCTGTAGTCGGTATTGAAGGCCACCAATATTGTGATGCTCTTCTTTGCTGAAACGACAAGCTTGGCATCTCGGTGCTCTACTTTTCCTTCATCAACAGTTGCCGTGACAATACCGTAGCCCTTGACACCACAAGTTCCATCGCTGTGTACTGACTCGAGAGCTTGGGCGTTGAACTCAAGCTTTCCATAATCAGTGATCTTGGATGTAAATGCTTCGTTCTCACCCTGAACGCCGACCATAACTTCAAGACCCCTTAGATCATCACCATCGAATTGCACCACGAGCACTTGGCTCGGATGACTGAGAAAAGACCTCCTCTTGAACTGGCGGCCGTTGATAGTATATCTCGTCTCCGCTACAGCTTCGTCTAACCGTAGTTCTCTCTCGAAGCCGCGAACTTGGTCAATGCTTCCCTGGCCATTGACGGCAATGTCAAGTGTCCCCACGCCAAGGTTGGTTCCAAAATTGTTCTTTTTGCTCTCGAGATACTTCTCCGCTCGCTTCTTCCCTTGAGCGTAATCGCCATTGAGATAGCATTTTTGTGTTTCTCTCAGCTCGGCTTTGGGATCTGTGGGCCGCTCCGCTAGTCCTTCACCCGCCTTCTCCCGTTTCCCAGACCAGAAGGAGACTTCGTTCAAGATGAAGGATTCCTTTGCGGGGGATGAGAGCACCGAGGCGGCGAAACGGCCATTGCCAAGAGGAAGCGAGGTAGGGAACGTTGTTGAGGGGGTGGTATAATGAAGTCTGTGTTCTGAAGACATCTTGCAGAGCCGATACTGTGAATCAAGCCTCGTCTATGCTACGAGTAAGCTGTGAAGCAACGAAAGTGACATGTATGCAGCTTCCAGGTTCGGTTCGCAGTTGCGGAGTTGTTCAGCAACAAAGCTCTACTCTGCATAACCCCCCACAACTCGTGAGTCCAAGAACTGTTACTAGTTGCCAAGCCCAAAACCAGTTCATCGCCAATAGAGACAGCTGGGGGCCCCCCAAACTCGCAATTCCCCGACCACGATAGCCGGCAGCCGGAGCCAAAGAAAAAAGAGTCAGCTGTTCGTTTGTGGGGTTTAGGTGCGGGAGCATTGTTCGGGTGGACTCTTTGGCTTCCTTGGCTTCACCATGTCTAGGCCCCTGGCTGATTGGTCGATCTAGGTGGAATTCCTCCCGGATATTGAGCCGGATATTGGTCCGGGAGAGGTGCGGCCTAGATCGAGCGCCACTAGATGCCGCATCCCGGGTTTTCGTCCGAATCATCGACCTGGAGTCTTTCGATCTTTGCCAAAGTTCACCAGCTGTTATATGGTGAAAATTCCAATAGTTTGGTTTAAAAAAAACCTGGCGAAACCCGTGATACTATAGAATGAAATTACCCGAAGGCTGATCTACTGCCAAGCCGACGGGAGTTGAAGCCGAAGCAACTAATACGTTGTAGGTAGGTTGGTTGAGCCTTGAAAACAGCCCACATCATACAGGCAACAAACAACATGTAGTCATAGTGACACTGAATTGAACCATGTCGTAAATGCCCGACGGATCTCACCTTACCTCATCTCGATACTACACACTTGTTTTTCCAACTGCCAATGGCAACACCGTCTTCGGCAAAATATCGCCGCTCGTCCATCTCCATGCGGCTCGTGTCGCTTCCCCAGAACCAGGATTGCACTAAGATGATCTTGCGGAGCCCCGCGACTTGACCTTATTAGTCCGGGAATGACTATTTGTGAACTCGGACTATACAAGACATATAAATACGATGCATGCAACGCTGATCCGGTGGTGAAGAGCAGGGTCTTTTCGGTTTGTCCTTCAAAAGTGCCTTTTGGTTCAAGGGCCTTTTCCTTCACAATTCCCCTCTCTGCCTCTTCATCTCCTGTTAACACCAAGTGTTAAGATCCATCAACTCAGCACGTTTGCCCATCATGGAGAAGGAAAAGGAGGCCCATTCCACGGCGCTTGAAAACGTCGCCAGCAACATCGAGCATGAGCTCACCAACGCGGGAGAGACTGGCAAGATGGCCAGCATCAGCGAGGCCATGGCCAACAACGGCACGGCGACGGAGCATCGACTCGGCTCCTGGGAGGCCTTCAAGCTCTACCGCAAGGGCGCCTTCTGGTCCATGTTCATCTCGCTAAGCATCATCATGCGCGCCTACGACATTGAGATTAGCGGCAACTTCTTCGCGCTGCCCGCTTTCCAGACGCACTTTGGTGTGGACTACGGCCCGGATCACGGAGGATATCAGATTCCCGCTCGATGGCAGGTTGCCATGGGTATGGGCAGCTTGGTCGGTCAGATTGTGGGAGCCTACCTCGTTTCGTTCCCCATGGAGAGGTTTGGTCGTAAGAAGACGTTTGCCGTCTGCCTTGTCCTGACGGCCATCCTGACCTTTATGCAATTCTTCGCCAACACCATCGGTGTCTTGACGGCCAGTCAGTACCTCAGCGGTATTGTTTGGGGAGGCTACTGTGTTATTGCGACGACATACGCCTCTGAGGTTCTTCCCCTCAGTCTTCGAGGTTTCCTTACTGGTTACATCAACCTCTGCTACGTCATGGGCCAGTTCATCCAGACCGGTGTAACCCGTGGCTTCATCAACCGACCCGACCAGTGGGCATACAAGATCCCCTTTGCCATCCAATGGATTTGGCCCGTCGTCTTGCTTGCCGGTCTTCCTTTTGCCCCCGAGTCGCCTTGGTGGCTGGTTCGCCAGAACAACATGGAAAAGGCTGAGAAATCTCTTTCGAAGCTTGTTCAGAAAAACTCGGGCATCAACATCAAGGAAACCCTTGCCATGATGGTCAAGACTGATCTCCTCGAGCGAGAGATGGAAGTCGGCACCACCTACGCCGATTGCTGGAAGGGACACAACCGTCGCCGTATGGAGATTTGCATCCTGCTGTTTGTTATCCAGAACTTTAGCGGTAACCCCGTCGGCTTCGCAACCTACTTCTTCGAACAGATCGGCCTCAACAACGTCCAGGCATTCGACATGGGAGTCGGCCTCAACGGAGTAGGTTTCATCGGCACCTGTCTTTCTGCCATTCCTCTGATCTACCTCGGTCGACGTCCTGCCTATATCTTCGGCCTTAGCTTCATGGTCACTATCCTCTTCATCGTCGCCCTCCTGACTTTCGCCCACGATTATACAACCAACTTTTCGTACCGATGGGCTCAAGCTACTTTGCTCATCATTCTTCAGTTCGTCTGGCAGGCAACTCTCGGTCCCCTTACTTATGTCGTCGTCTGCGAGACTCCATCAACGAAGCTCCGATCAAAGACCATTGCCATTGCCACCATGATCGACGCCCTTACTGGATTGGTTACTTCCGTCATTGGACCCTACTTGCTCAACCCTGGTGCCGCAGGTGCTGGAGCCAAGATTGAGTTTTTGTATGGAGGCATTTCTGTCTTTTCTCTCATCTGGACCATTTTCAGGATGGTGAGTATCACTTCCAATAATTTACCCCATTTCAGGTACAACTTGCTAACATTTTTTGTGTAATGCAGCCGGAGACCAAGGGCCGAACCTACGAAGAGTTGGATATCATGTTCGAAAGAGGCGTTCCCGCGAGACAGTTTGCCTCGTACAAGTTTGAGGAGGATGATGATGTGAGGGTATAAAGAGATGGCTATTGTTGGATTAATAATACTTAATTAATGTGATACTTTCGGGCCATCAATACCAATGACGAGTCGTTATTACAACTGTTATTTTGGAAGCGTTCAGTAGACACACTATTTGAAACCAGATGAGGCCACCCATGGCAGTAATTGGACACCTCTCCCAACCGAAGACAGCTAGTGCTCCTCAGAGGTTGCCAAGAAGTTAACACAGAGATCCAAGTCTACCGTGACCAATCATGGTAGCAAGAGTTAATGAACGAGTCGGAGTATAATAAGCCGGCTATCGGTTCCAGATCTCATGGATTGGATCTCTTGGCAGCGGAGATCATACTTGGCGTTGTTGTTGTCGGTGGTAGTTCTCTCGACACCCCGCTATTTCTCTTGTTTCAACAACTATAGAGTATGTAGGTATTGAAACGGTGCAATAAGTACATCTTGGAAGATGAATCAGACATGTAGTTATAGAACTAGTAACTCAAAGCCCAGAAAAATTACATTTATTGAGTCCAAGTTGAACAAGTTTAGAGTGAACCCTTAAAGCATTCAAGGCTATGGACGAGTGGTTTACTTACATGCACTCACCTGTCAGCCACATGATTAGCGCCACTTTGAATGGCAACTTGATGTTTTCCCTCGCCATCAACGGTTGCATCCAAAGTGAACTTGTTGTAACATGTCTGTCTTTGAATGAAATCGTTGTTCTCAACTTTGTAGTTGACAGGCTAAATATCTGGCTTGAATCCTTGTAAACTCACGTCGCGTTGCCACTACTATTCGCCTTACTAAGCACTCAGAAATTCCTCTCTTACGCCTTTTGGTCAACCAACCTTTACTATAAAGCTCACCTTTTCATCGTCATCGTCAATATCAAAGATGAACGACAACGAACCGCTACGGCGTCTCAACGGGCGGCTCCAGGCATGCGATCAGTGTCGCGCGCGCAAAGTCGCCTGCGACCACGCTCGTCCAGTGTGCAACCGATGCCTTAAGAGAAACAAGGCCAGCGAATGCACCTACACAGTCGGCGCAGTGATTCAGCCACGGCGGCGCGTACGGCGCCAGAGACCAGTAGTGAGGCCATCGACTTCGAGGTCTCTGGACACATCACCAGCGCACAGCCATTCCAACGGACATACAAATGGGCACGTAAACGGACACGGATCGCCCAATGCTGGGTACATGGGCTTCACCAGCCACACCACTGTGTTTGAGGCGACAAAGCGAAGTCTGAGCCTTCTTCAAGGCCAGGAAACGGACCCTCGGCTGTCAGTCTCTGGTGCCGACGATCGCATGACTCCCAGGCGCTCTTTCAACCAGCTCCCCCATATGGTGCGCCACATGAGCATCTATGTTCTGGAGGCTCTTCCAGGGCAGTGTAACGAACAGATTGTCTTCAACGATGAAGATATCCCGGATTGGGGCTCGACTCAAGCCGCACTGGCCCGTATTACCAAATCTCTCCAAGACTTGCTCAAACCGAGTTCGGACGGGGTTGGCCCTGACTTGGAAAGCATCGCCGAGATGATATGCAATAACACCGCTCAGCCCTTTAGAGACATGGACGATCCGCATCAGTGGATGGATCAGTTTTGTGGTAGCAATCTCAGATGGGAGTCAATCGGGCTGATATGGGGAGGCTTGGAGCGTCTTGCGGATACCATGAACTCTTTTCGGCCCTGTCACGTTGCGTGGATTCCTGGAAAGGGGTCCAAGGAACTTTCCAGAACGTATATAAATTATTGCATTGATTTGTCGCGGCAGTTTTGTGATGGTAGCCCCGTGTTATTGGATCTTCACCGACGTCGAACCATTTTGGTGTCTGTCCTCGACGGCGATGCCGGTAAGCATATGAATGTCTCCGAGTTGGATTCCGTATTAATGATACTGATTCAACAGCTGGATCCTGTTGGTACGCCCACGGCGCGGCTGTGTCCATGTTAACCTTCATGGGCCTACATGCCCTGCAGAAGGAGGTTCCGTATACGCCCACGTTATCCTCCGAGTATAACAGAAGGCTCGTTGCCCAGATCTTCAACAACGACAAGTTTTGTGTCGCGTTCTCGGGGCGACCTCCACTGCTCAATCGTCGATACTGCACAACACCTCTACCCCTCGATCTAAGAGATGAAGATCTGGTTGCAGATGACTCAACGCTACAGAAGGCTGTGCAAGAGCTGGATAATCGCGGGTGGAACACAAAAGGCGAAATCTATCCAGTTACGCTTATTCGAGCTCGCCGTATGTTGGCGGCCGCTCTTGAGGAAGTAATGGAGATTGCCCTGGGTTGCCAAGTTTGTGTAACTCTTGATGAGCTACGGTATGTTCCAACACGTAACCCTTTTTTCTCTTCAAAAGTAGATGGAAGCTCACAGCATCCGCTAGAAACATGCAGGGCCAACAACTGGAATTGCTTGCGGGATTCCCCCCGTATCTCAGATATGATCCGCAAGACTTGGTAGATCCTGATATAGATACCAAGTCCGTCTATGCTCGGATACTCATCCGTCTAACTCACTTACAGACAATGTTCTTCTTGGAAAGGTTACTACTACTAAATGGCGGTTTGGAAGAAGGCAATCTACTACTGTTTAGCTTCGAGATGCTCACACTGACTCTCACCATGTGGACGCACAAAGACCGTTTCGCAGCAATGAGACGCAATTTTGAATGGCTTGTAAGCAGTGCAACTCGCTTTATCATTTATATCCCGTTGCTAATTGCTGAACAAGCTCATGGCCCACGCCGCTCCCGCAGGCGGTATTCTTTGTCTGGAACTTCTCAACCCGACATTTACAGGCAAACACCCCAGGGATTCACGAATCTCACGATCGAGTATTATACAGAATCTCAGTCTCTTGGTAGGCTTTCTCGACTGGGTTCGTCCATCCGCACCAAATGGAGATTTGTGCATGGACTGCAAAGTCATTATACAGCGGGTGCTGGATCATACCTTGGATGGTAGTGTAGATGGCAATAGTCCCCGGGCAGCTTTGGCATACGACTTCCCCCAGCCTCTAGATTTCAACTTTGACCTGTTAGATACATTTGACTGGCTGCATACGGAAATTTCATAGGATACAGGAAACAAATGAAGCCATCTCGAAATCATTGAATTGATGGTGTCTATCCATACGCTATATATACATCCAGATTTATCATGTCGTGACTAATTATTGCTCATAGATGGATCAATATGCAGTCCCATTAGTAGAGACGCAGAATCGCGTGTGTGCGCATCACCATCAGAAATCTGATCCTCCCATTCCTCTATGTGCCAATTACATCCGAGACCTATACGGTGAAACAAGCCAAAGACGTCTTCTTGCAGTTTGTAGCACTCCTTCATTAAGGTAAGAGCGTCGCGATGTCTTCTACACTGTTTCCAAGAAATGGCAAGATTATACATAGCGAGCATGGTAGCCAGATGTTTTTCGCCCACTGTCTCGTTCTGAAGCTTCAATACCTCCTCTCTGATAGACAGAGCCTGGGCATATCGACCTTGTATATAAAAGACATAAGCAAGATCTTCCAACGCTGCCAACGTGTTCGGATGCTTTCCTCCATAGAGTGTCTGCTGAGTACCAAGTATATTCTGTGCAATTTTCGTGGCGGCGTCGAATTCGCCTTGTCCGCATTGTATTTCTGCAATGATCTTCCAACTTGAGATGGTGTCTGGATGAGTTGGTCCGAGAACCTTGTGTCGAAGCCCTAACAGATCCATTCCGATTTCATATGCTTTGTTGATGTAATATTGGGAGTTTTTCCACCGGTATGATATATCAAACCTTAGGGACCCATCATCCCGATCTGCAAAAGCCTGTCCGAAGTACGACATGGTAAGAGCAGCCATGCTGTTTAGCGTATCGGGATGTTCTGCCCCAAGAATCTTCTGTCGCATTATCAGTATCTTTTCATCCAGCAATGCTCTTCCTTTCCACTCATTGAGATCCCCCAGAAGATCTGATACCGCAGAAAGCTTGTCTGATATGGTAGATCCCTCCCCACAGAGCTCCATCCATTCGACTACCTGAAGCGCATGTGTCATATAATCGTCCCCTAGTACTTGCGCTTCTCCCGATTCGTGGAGATCTTCCGACATATAAGAAATGACGTTCAATGCACGCATCGCAAAGAATGACCCGTCCTTTACCTCCAAAGCCCTTTTGTTGTCTTGTGGAGTGTTGTTAGTTATTATTGTAGCCGAGTCCTTCACCAGTGGTTTCTTCATACCCAGGCTATATCGCGCAGCCTCTTGTACCAGTTTATGCATCTCATACATCCGATGGCCAAATTCATCCTGGCGTCGAAAAATGAGGGAAAACTCTTTCAGCCGTGTTATAGCTTCTTCTAATTCATCTGTGCCCTCTTCCAAGTCGTAGCCACACTCTATTCCACCAACTTCGACCAAGTCCCCTGAGAACTTTTGGTTGTCAAAGTATGCAATGGTGTGGAACAAATCAAATGCCAGCTCGCTTTCTTGCTGAATACGCTTTATTGAGATTCTCCATGTATCTAAAATACTGTTGGGAGCTCCTGATTGTCGATGTCGATCGAACTCGCTTTTCTCGAGGAGTGTTTGTCACGTCTTCTTCTGAGCGAGCATATTTATGTATTCGCGTACGGAAGTTGACGTTCTTCGCATATATGCACCGGCCTGTGAAATAGCCAATGCGTGATATTGAAGAGCTTCAAGCAGTTTGCTAATATTATTGATGACTTCGCTGGTCGCTTTGTCCTGCGTTGTTGCCGTTGCCATTGAAAGAAGTATCGTTGCTTCGTCAAGTGACATATCGCCCACTTCCACTGCTCTAATAGGACCGACCAGTGTCCCCTTGATGTGTTTGTCACGGGTTGTCCATAACACAAGCCCCTTGGGTCCTCGAGGGATATAGTTTAGCAGGGGTTTCGTCGAAGAAGATGTAGTGCCGACTCCAAATAATGATAGATCATCGGCATTATCGAGCACCAAGAGCCACTCTGGTTCTGCCTCAATTCTGTTGCAAACAGCCATGAGCAACCCTTCGTCATCAAGCTTCTCATCAATATCACCAAACTTCCTCGCAATCATTTTATAGTCATTTAAGAGTGTTGCCTTAGTATCTGCGTGTACCCAAAAGACCGAGCGAGTACCACATCGCCGGTATGTAAAGTCGAGCGCGATCTGCGTTTTTCTACACATAAGATATTCAGCAAGTATTGGTTGAATTGAACCAAATAGCTAAAAACATACCCCGAACCACCCAAGCCACAAAGCGCGGCACTATAGAACTCTGAAGACCGTGGCAGAAGCTGGTCAAGTTTGCCAACGATCTCTGACCGGTTGATGAAATCTTCATTTCGCGGATATGGAATGACGTGAGTCAACGTCCGGGCCGAGTGAGCAGGTATATGAATATGAGTATCGCCTTGATTGATCACCGTGTTGTCGCGAAACTGACTGCGGCGAATGTTGCGTGTATGCGGCTGTGATTTTCTTCTCATTGCGGTTCAGTTGTCTATGTGTAGTGACAATTTAGTATCTATGCATACATGTATGCATAGAGCAACGAGATTCCGCTTTGTGCCCACTGGCCAATGAGTTGCTCGTAAACAGATTGATTTGCCCAGGCACATGTATCATCATCCCACGTATCGTTGTTCGCTTTTCCAGTTCTACGGCGTCAGGCTCGCTTGCTGCCCAATCGTTGTTATTTATATAAACTCCGCATTAGCGGCTGCTTTACGTGATCATGCGTCCAGCTCCCAGTCCCTTTGGGGCAATTGGTCGCGCTTTACCCTACCAGCCGATAGAAATCGCCTACTACCGGATGTTCGAGACGAAGAATACATACATCTTAATATTAAATGGCTGACAATGTTACGGGTAATGGATTGACTAAGAACTCAATTGAGAAGTAATGTAGATATCCTCGACTAAGAGATAAACACACCATCTAAATTTGAAGGCTAACGGCACTATTGTAAAATATAATGGCTTCATCTTACGCTGTAGTGGCATGCTCTTATTTCATGGTATGTCACTACATGACCAGATCTAGAGAGAACGTGAGGATGATAAGAGTCGTAATTGGAATACTGAGTCCGGTTGTGGGAACGCCTCCCTAGTGAGCTGAGAACCATCCTAATGAGCTATACGGAGTAAATAGCCTTGAGTCGATTTTCGAATGATTAAAGAGGAATTTGTATAACCGAGCTGCTGTCTAGTGTATATGGAATGAACCAATTAGACACCGCCACTGAGGGAATAAGCTCAATTCCAATTCAAGCTTCTCTCTCCCGCCGCGCCTGCAAGCCAGCCTCTTTTTCTTGACAATTGAGATAACCATAGTTCTATAAAGACTCGATTGGTATATTATGAAAGAGTTAAAGGGAAAATAGCATACATTCATATAAGTTTCTAGGTAAAATCGTATCGTTCAGCCGCACATGGGAGAGAAAATGTTTCAGCGGCCACGGGAGTAATTCACCTCTTGGCTGCTCTTTTGCTACAATTTAGCCTGTTTAGCCAGCTGAAAAATTCAGTGCTTTGTCCATGACGAACTCCCAGAAGTAATGAATTCACGTAGCAGTTTCTACTCGTATATACGACAGGGCAGACCGAAATTTAGAGATTCGGTTCCTGAATCGGCTGCAGATCCCGCGGTGTGGCCAATCTGACGCCTCAACGTGAGCACATGCAACGGCTAATCCCCTGGCTTCGGTGCCGAAAGAATACTAGAGGCATGCAGTGCATCTCCCCGCGCATTGTCTATGGATGGTATCGCCGAGCCAATACCAACGGAGCAATAAACAAGGTATCGCATCATATTGAGCTGTGTTAGTCGTTGAGCTTCCATGCAGGGTGTTAATACTGTAAGCAGTAGTGGTAATGAAGTACAGATAGTCATGACGGCGATGAGCGCACATTCCAGCCGACTCGGAATGGATATATATACACCAATTCCAACCCTGGCAGCCACTTTTGCAACCAGTACGACAGGTCCTCAACATCTGCGCTGTTGACAAGATGAAGAAGAGGAATGTATTGGCAAGCCTGCTGCCTCTGGTGGCTGCGGACAGCGATGCTGCCAACTCGCAGATCCGAATCGCCTACCACGGCGACGATGGAATGATGGTCAGCTGGAACACGTTTGACCATGTTCGTCATCCAAGCGTCTTCTGGGGTAGGTCAAAGGAGCACCTCACCAATGTCGCATCTTCGGCCGTGTCTGTCACTTATCCCACCTCGACAACTTACAACAACCACGTCTTGATCAAGGAACTGAAGCCGGACACCACCTACTACTACCTGCCTGCGCAATTAAACGAGGATGTGTGCTATGAGCCATTCAACTTCACCACCAGCCGCAGGGTTGGTGATAAGACGCCCTTTTCCGTTGCCGTTGTCGCCGACTTGGGCACCATGGGCTCAAAGGGACTGTATACTTCAGCCGGAACGGGTGTTGCGCCCACCAACGTCCTGAAGCCTGGTGAGAAGAACACGGTCGACTCTCTCATCAGCACCATGGGCGACTATGAGTTCCTGTGGCACGTCGGAGACATTGCATATGCCGACTACTGGCTGAAGGAGGAGATTCAGGGATTCCTGCCCAACACCACCGTCGAAGAGGGATACAAGGTTTACGAGGCCATCTTGAACGATTTCTACAACGAAATGATGCCCGTGACTGCTTCCAAGGCCTACATGGTTGGGCCTGGTAACCACGAGGCCAACTGCGACAACGGAGGCACCGCTGACAAGGCGCACAACATCACCTACGATCTCAGCATCTGCATGCCTGGACAGACCAACTTCACCGGTTTCAAGAACCACTTCCGCATGCCCAGCGATGTTTCTCGGGGCACTGGAAACTTTTGGTACAGCTGGAACAGCGGCATGGCTCACTTTATCCAGCTCGACACTGAGACTGATCTTGGCCACGGCTTTATTGGCCCCGACGAGATTGGGGGCACTGAGGGTGAGGGCGCCAGCCCCGTCAACGCAAAGATGAACGCTCAAGTCAACTGGCTTGAGGCTGATCTCAAGTCGATCGACCGCAGTGTCACTCCCTGGGTCATCGTTGGTGGCCATCGCCCCTGGTATCTCAGCCACGCAAACGTCACTGGCACCATCTGCTGGAGCTGCAAAGACGTTTTCGAGCCTCTCTTCATCAAGTATGGCGTTGATCTTGTTCTGTCTGGTCACGCCCACGTCTACGAGCGCCTGGCTCCTATCGCCGACCAGAAGATTGACCCCAAGGGATTGAACAACCCGACCTCTCCTTGGTACATCACCAACGGAGCTGCTGGTCATTACGACGGATTGGATATTATCCAGAGCCCCCGCCAGGAGTACAGCCGATTTGGCCTTGATACTACGAATGCTACCTATGGATGGAGCAAGCTGACATTCCACAACGCTACACACTTGACGCACGACTTTATTGCTAGCAACAACAATACAGTCCTCGACTCTGCGACTCTGTACAAGAGTCACAAGACCGCTGATGGCGGTCACCACCACGGATGGTAGTCCTAGCAGGAGTCTAGATTGGGATGTTATAATGTCAAAAATATTAAAAGAGCTTAAGAGCTAGATAAATAATAGTATTAAACATGCTTCATAGAACTGCTTAAGAGTTCTCCTATTTATACAAACCTTTCCCCCCTATTGACACAGGTACGGCATTAACCTATTCTAAAATTAGTATACTTGTGTTATAATCCCCATTGATTTATGGTTAAGTTATAATAAACGGTGACATAATGGCACTCAAGGCAGCGGGGTTGGATGGAGGTCTTGATCAGCGCCTGAAGCATTATCCGCAATACCGCGATCTTATTCTTCTGGCTTTAGACATTCTCAATACCAATCTTATTCAAAGTAAGGCTGCCGCAAGAAGCCTCTATGGGACGGCAAGCTTACTGAATGGTAGTAACCACCGACCCAAATGGGCTCAGCTTAGATGAGTCCTCACATGACGCGGCGGGCAGAAGAAGGGTCGAGCTTGGCGGTATTCAGCGATCAATAAAGAACTTGATCGATTCGTCATTGATATAAGACAGTCTTCTTCTTCCTCTCTTGATGCCCGAGTCAAAGCAGTCGCATCAAGAAAGCCTGTAGAGGTCTCTTCCTTTGAGATCAAGGCGATACTTGCGGTCAACGTGCTCTATCCCGAAGCCTCTGAGAGCCTCCCTAAGTATTTGAGTAAGTCAATGACACAGAGACATACGAAGCTATTATATTGGCGGTTCCACGAGAAGAATTTGCCTGTAAATTGTCACTACGATGCAAAGTCTCGAGATGACCCCGTGCAATCGCAACGAGAACTGTCGACTTTGCCGACCAACGAATCACCACCACAACCATTGGTCATAGATCGAAATCTCACTTTACCAAAACTCGATTCAAATAGAGTTTCTGTTCTATCTAAGACCTTATCATACCGAGTCACCATACCGACAGTAGAAGCCCGGGTGCCGTCTCCAAGACGCGCTGGGGTGTCAACCGTACTTGAGAGTAGAGCAAAGTTCCCTAGCCCTCTTCAATTCGAAGAGGGAGAGGTTAAGAAGCCTTGTCCTCTCTGTCGAAAAAAGCCTCGACCCAAATCGACCAACACTCCTCTTCTCTCAGTATCGTCCGCATCACAGAATTTGGACGAGGTGCTGGTAACGTCGCCACCAGGGTCCAAGAATAACCTTAAGAGTACTAAAGAGGGCGCCAAAACAGTACTATCCGACGTTCCAGTGTCTGGATCTGGAGGGAGTTTATCAGAAGATCCAACGCCCCTGGAGTATGGCTGACTTAGGGACGGAGATAGTTGTTCCTATGAAGAACTCTGTGGTGAATCTTATGATGAATCACATCGCCGACCATCTGCAATTTCTAGCCTTGCTCACATTGCGATTATCAACAGAAAAGCTCGCGGATGGCGACATAATACATGTACCTTCTCCAGCTCGCAATCGAGTAGCAGCAGGGAAGGCTCTAGAAATCGGTGCACTCGGGACGACGAATTCAGAACCGATGTGGGAGAAGTCCCGGAAATAGATGAGAATGCATTCTTCGACAAACCGTCTGTATCAGGGACGGCCCCGAACCCAGCATTGTGACAGGATGAATGAATCAACCTAAGTCTCAAAAGTCTCGACTAGAAAGCGAAATCTCCAGATCCATCAATAAGCTATATTAGCTGTAACTATTCAATTTGCATCTCATTGTTCATTTTCATACCCCATAGTAAGCTGGCACGAATTCAATAGCCAACTGACGACGATTGTAATGCTATTCGTCAATTTGCTAATCATCCCAGATCCCCTTACCGCCGTAAACATTCCCTATTTGGATTCGAGTTTCATTCTTTGCCGAAATTGTCTCTACGGAGTTATTCGTCTGATCCTTGACCAGGATCTCTCGGTGAAGAACTCCCTCTGAGAAGGTGTTACCGACATGGAACTTTGCTCTGTCCTCCATCGTGATACTCCCGGCCGAATTTTTCGCTTCGATAGAATCTATTTTGCGTTCCACTGCGAGTTCTAGGGCTGGGTCGATATCACGAGCGGCGTCCTCAAGAGTCTTAAGGCTCAGCTCGTCATTGACCTCTCCAATCTCAATCTCGATAGACTTCTGGTAAGACGCCTCAAAAGGAAATAGCTTTTCCAGCTCGTCGACCCAGGAGGAAATTTGGTCAACGATATTCTCGAGGCTTTTCTTATCGTATAATGCCCACGCAGCTTTCTTAACAATGCTGATGCCTTTCTGTCTCCGACGAGCGGTGTCTTTGGAGCGTTTGTGCAGCCGTTGGAACAAGAGGTTCATATCATTGGTGTTATGAACCATTAGCTCTTCTTTATCAGCACGCTTCGCATATCGTCTTGATTTCTTCTGTGCAGACTCAAAACAATCTGCAATATCTTCGAGGATCCCCAATGCATCCTTTACAGCCTTGTCACTCGGTGCGGCAGATGCAAAGCGTATGTCGCTGTTGATCCCAACAGCCTCGCCCCATCGTCCTAGGCGAGTTTCTGCAACGTCTAGTTTCAGCTGGTATCTCTGGTAGTCCTCTCCGAAATGGCGGCCGAGCTGGATGTACTCGAACGTTTGGACGCAGTTGTTAAAGAGTGCTGCAACGCTCAGCGCGCCGGTCGCGATGCCAAAGATTTCGGCCATTTTCTATTATATAGTGAGCTCTCTGTGTAAGACTTATAGGAAAGAAATTGTTGATGCCTGACGAGCCGACTTGGTTAACGCATTCAACTGGCCATGGTGATGGGAAACTTGGGCCGCCATGCATGCATTGGGCATCAGAGCAGTCGCAAGGGATTTGTGACCAATGAATCGATCAGGCTGCCTCCAAACAAATCCTTGCCTGTCACGTCACGCATAACACTCGAGGGCTGAGATGCTGCGGGGTTTTCCATCCCAGAGCCTCTTAAATGCCTATGCCATTCACAAGACATAATAGCACAGGGGCATCAGCCTTCATGTTTGAGAGTCTACGGACATTGGGCTGCTTTCAGGCGAACAATCGTAAGACGATCTCAACATGGCAGACATGACATCGAATACGCATGTCGGCTCCGCCAACCTCAAAGGCAACGCAAAAGCCCATATTGGAAACGTGGTGAACATCTACCAGACGGAAGACCGCTGCCTTTCCGACCTGCGAATCACCGATCCCCGCGACGATAAAACTCGCATCGCGGCTACAAAAGGAGGTCTACTTGAAGATTCATACGGTTGGATCCTCGAGCACAGCGACTTTCGACAATGGCGCGACGACGAACAGAGTCGACTGCTCTGGATAAAGGGCGATCCCGGCAAGGGCAAGACGATGTTGCTCTGCGGTATCGTTGATGAGTTAACGCCCCGAACGAGACTCGAAGATAGAGAAGCCAACACAATATTATCCTACTTCTTCTGCCAGGCCGCCGACGAGCGCATCAACAGCGCCACAGCCGTGCTGAGAGGTCTCATCTACTTGATTGTGGAACAACAGCCGCCGCTTGTATCACACATACAGAAAAAATATAAACATGGAGGAGAAGATATTTTCAAAGATGTGAATGCATGGTCTGCATTATCAACAATTCTCTTAAATATCTTAGAAGATACAAGCTTAAAGCAGACTTATGTGATCATTGACGCACTTGATGAATGCGTAACCGATTTACCAAAGCTGCTTGACTTTATCAACACGAAATCCGCCCTCCTTTCCCGCGTCAAATGGATAGTGTCTAGTCGTAACTGGCCTGACATTGAGGAGCGTCTCGATTCTTCTGCTCAGCAAATGAGGCTCTGTCTAGAGCTTAATGAAAAATCTATCTCAGCGGCCGTCAATACATATATCAAACACCAAGTCAAACAGTTGGCGCAGAAAAAGAAATTCAGCAACGAAACAAAGGATACTGTTCAGCGCTATTTGTCTTCCAACTCCAATGATACTTTCCTTTGGGTGGCATTAGTCTGCCAGAATCTAGAGAAAATGTCACTGCAAAATATCCTCGCAAAGCTAAAGGAGTTCCCACCTGGACTCGATGCTTTATACGAGAGGATGGTGAAGCAAATACATGACCTGGAGGATGTCAGTGATACTAAATTTTGTTGTCAGATCCTTGCGACCGTGTTGCTCGTATATCGGCCTGTTACAATGGCTGAGCTTGGCTCTCTTGTTGATTCCCCGGAAAATAATTTTACAGATGTTGAGTCAATCCATAGGGCAATAGGACTCTGTGGCTCATTTCTCACAGTGAGAGACAGCCAAGTCTATGTTATCCACCAGTCAGCCAAGGATTACTTGAGTGACAAGGCACTATCTACTACCTTCTTTCCGGGTCCCGCCGATGTTCACAACCACATCTTCTTGCGGTCTATTCAAACTATGTCCGTCACATTACGGCGGAATATGTATGATTTATCTTCTCCTGGGCTCTCGAGAAATGAAATTAAAGCACCAGATCCGGATCCGCTAAGCGGCATACGTTATTCTTGTATCTATTGGGTCGACCATTTCTGTGATATACACAGCAGTAATTGCCAATCTCAGAATAAAGTTGACGATGAGTCGTTTCAATCGGTCTTCCTATTCCTTCGAAAGTACTTCCTGTACTGGCTTGAGGCTTTAAGCCTCATGGGAACTATTCAAGATGGCATTGTTTCCATGGCGAGGTTGGAGGATCTGTTGAGAGTAAGTTTGTACCGCCAAAACAACTAAGAGTGAAACTGATTTATAAAGAAAAACTCGTCAGATAATCAAATTCGAGAGTTAACCCAGGACCTACGGTGGTTTCACCTTTTAAGATTAAAAAGGAGGGATATTTCAAGAGTAAGTATACATTATAGTACCAACAGCTGGAACAAAACTGATCAATAAAGGCAAAATTACCAGACCGCGAATTACTGAAACTTGCAAAAGACTCACGGCGGTTTATTCGGCAGAATAGTTCAATCATCGCGGATATTCCACTCCAGATATATACGTCAGCACTTATATTCAGCCCATTGAATAGCTTGATACGGAGGATGTTTGAATACGAACAACCTCGGTGGCTCAAGGTTATAACTACAGTAGAACATGATTGGCGGCCTCATTTACAAACCCTCAAGGGCCATGGCAGTTCGGTTGAATCAGTTGCTTTTTCACCAGATGGCCGTTACCTTGCATCAGGGTCAGGCGATAACACTATAAAGATCTGGGACACAATAATGGGTAAAGAACAACAAACCCTCAAAGGCCATAACGATTTGGTCCGATCAGTTGCATTTTCAGCAAATAGCCGCTACCTTATATCATCATCAGAAGATAAGACTATAAAGATATGGGATACAGCGAAAGGCAAAGAGCAACAAAACCTCAAGGGCCATAAGGATCAGGTCTCATCAGTTGCTTTTTCACCAGATGGCCGTTACCTTGCATCAGGGTCAAATGATAACACTATAAAGATCTGGAACGCAATAACGGGTAAAGAACAACAAACCCTCAAAGGCCATAACGATTGGGTCCGATCCGTTGCATTTTCAGCAAATAGCCGCTACCTTATATCATCATCGGATGATAAGACTATAAAGATATGGGATACAGCAATAGGCAAAGAGCAACAAACCCTTAAGGGCCATGGGGATTGGGTCTTATCAGTTGCTTTTTCACCAGATGGCCGTTACCTTGCATCAGGGTCAAACGATGACACTATAAAGATCTGGGATATATCAGGCAAAGAACAACAGACCCTTAAAGGCCATAAGGCTCGGGTCCGATCAGTTGCTTTTTCACCAGATGGCCGTTACCTTGCTTCAGCATCAAACGATAGGACTATAAAGATATGGGATATAACAGGCAAAGAAAAACAAACTCTTAAGGGCCATGAGGGTTGGGTCTCATCAGTTGCTTTTTCACCAGATGGTTATTACCTTGCCTCAGGGTCAGACGATAAGACCATAAAGATCTGGGACATGGCAAGTAAAGAAGAACAAACCCTCACAGGCCATAATGCTTGTGTCCGATCATTAGCTTTTTCAACAGATGGTCATTACCTCGCCTCAAGGTCAGACGATAAGACTGTAAAGATCTGGGATACTAAAACGGGCAAACAGCAGCAGACATTGGAGGTCAAATATGCAGTAGGTAGTATATCTTTCGATGCTACGAACTCATCCCTACGTACGGACAGTGGCCTTATAAAATTAGGTATAAAGCATAGAATTAAGGCCAATTCTTCGACGATAGCCCAATTCTTGTTTCCGGATACAGATGCCACGCAAGATGAGGATGAACAACAACGCACTTCCAATCATACTCAAAAGGCACACCGGTTTTGCTACGGCATAAGCAAAGACAAATGTTGGATCACATGGAATGAAGATCGCATACTTTGGCTTCCGCCCGAATACCAGCCTTGCGTGACGGAAGTATGGCCTGTGGTACCGCGCTTTACTCGGCCACAAGGGTCGTCAACAGACGTCGTTATGGCTCTGGGCACTACGTCTGGAAGAGTGGTGATAATGAGGTTGTCTGCTTTAGGACCGTATTAGGCGCCTTATTATAATCAGAGAGTAATCCGTTTTGTCCCTATTTCGAATGACTTTGTAAAGTGAAGCCTGTAGGAGGCTTGAGTCTTGCGCATAACTGGAGTAAACGGTTCAATCTTTGGTTTAATTTCAGGACATTTATTTTGTAAACCAAATTCATAATTCTACGACGCGATGAAAAACGCATAGTTGGTTAGTATATCAATCAGCTTAGTCTTTGCAGTTTTGAGAAAATTCAACCCGCCATACGTCGTCGTCTCAGGGTTAGGTATCTACAAATCCATCACAACTGATATATCATCATCCGCCTCCTAAAGGAGAGAGAAATCATCTCCGGGTTAACTGTACATACACATTTAACCGAAATCTCCTCATCATTGATTCATGCGCCACAGTTCGGACTCGGCCCCGGCTTCGCACTCGGTTTAATCCATGTTTGTTGCCGAAATTCAATCTCCCAAAGTACGGATACCCCGGAGCGCCCCATTCTTTACACGTCAAATTCCGTAAAAGATACCCAGCGTCGTAAGAGTGAGACCAGCCTCCGTGTAGTAGGACTGACTCCCATAGCTCGACCTTTCCTTTTTGACGGGCCAAGATCTTTCAGCTAAAACATGGTCGTCATCGGGTTACGCAGAGAGGGGAATTGGACCAAGGAATTGACGGCAATTTGGTTACACCGACGGATCGCCATTTAATATGCCTTTCAGGTGCTGTTTGTCTCGAGTGCCGAGCTACTAAAACTCGCATTCGGTTGGCAAAAGGCTTCGCAAACAAGCATCCGCATTGCCTTGCATCCGTTAAAGTTTCCCTTGCATAGTTTTGCTGGATACCCGTCAGAAGTTTGAGACAGGTTTCAAATCTCCAGCTTAAATATAAGCAAAGCAAGCCCCAGCTGTTCCGCTGGTCTCTTGAATACCACAATTCGAACCACAGCATCTCAAAGATGGGCACCAAGATGGATTTCCAACACTTTGCACCGCAGATCGACAAGATCTCCAAGGCGACACCGAGCCAAATGGCTTCTAATGCTCTCTGGAATGTCTGTCGCCCCATTGCATCTCATGAAATGCTGATTTCAGGCATCACAAATAAGACGAACTGGAAGAAGCCCCGGGCGCTGACACCAAATTTTCCGTAGGTTGTCCGCGATAACTTCTCCATCTCAACCTGGATGGCCATTGGAGCCGTTCTCCAGGGTCTCTTAGTTTTGTTCGCTCGACCTACTCTCGCAATCGCACCGTCAGTACTCGTCTTGCTTTATCGATTCTCCCACACGATGCTCATGCACTACGGCTTTGTTCGCAACACGCAGATGGAAGATGCCATCATGGGAAAGTATACTGTGCAGATCCCCGACAAGGACGGTAAACAGCCAAGTGAGCCGTCGGAGACAGGCATGGCCATCATCATGCTGGGCATGAGAAACAATTCGTGCGTTATTGCCGTCTATTTATTCCATCTGTCACGATAATTTCCTGCTAAGACGGTATCACAACAGCGCGCTCGGTATGTTTGGATCAGGCGCGCGGGATGCCTTCCTCACGTTTGGGGAGATGTTGAAGGATCTTGAGAATGATCCTGACTCCGGCTGTAAGGTCCCAAACTTTGTTCAACTCTATTCAATGATCCATGGCAATTCCCATAAGCTGACAGAAACTGCAGTTCTTGGTATGTGTGGGTATAGAGCTGCCAATGAGCGAGCGACGGTAAGTTATCCACGTTCAGTGGTACAGAACCATCACTCACATACTCTATAGTCCAATGGTTCCATGTCGGTTCTCTATTTCCGTAGCGTAGAGGATATCAATCGATTCGCTCACGCTCCACTTCATCGTAAGGCCTGGGATTGGTTTGTCGAATTGAGCAAGACGCATAAGCATTTGAGTATCATGCACGAAGTGTATTCAGCGCCAAAGAAGAACTGGGAGAACATCTTCATCAATTACCACCTCACAGGCATCGGTATGTAGCGACCTATTCTGACGAACCAAATGAAGCTAACAACGCCAGTAGGGAAAATTCTGAAACCCGTCATCATCAATGGAAAAGAGTATACGCCTATTGCCAATGCCCAACGTGGGCCATTAAGCACGCACAATGGACGAATCGGCAATTCGAGATCAGGTGCTGATGATAAAGATTATCTTATGAATGCTCAAGAGTGAATATTGCTCCTTTATTCTATACTGCATATGAAAGTTGGATAGATTGGACAAGAAGGGTTATCTGCTTTTGCCCACCCATTTTCCGCGGAGCCACACGGGCTCCGGATTACAGCTCTTCAAAGCGGTTCTCAACATGATGCTTTTATTCTTTTTTGTAATGAAATACTCAATTCTAGCTGCTGTGTCTACCCACTTGTGCCCCTCTCCAAGTCCACCTAACATGCGGCGCTGTTTTGAGCTGCGTCTGCCTAAAGACAAAGGCAAGGTATGGGGTAAAGCATCGACCAGTTATAATTGGCTTCAAAATATGTACTCAGAACGGTTTACGATGAATTGATGTTGTTCACTTCGAAATCTCTTGCAAGCCGTCAGAGGAACAAGGACCAGTTTCTCTTGTAGAGGAGTATATTTACAACTACAGGGGGGGGAATTAGCCATGATTATAAATACCAAGATTTACAACTAGATTACGCTCAATATTATCAATAATAAAGGCAATTCATTCGTTTCCTTCACCATGTGGCTCCTTAACTGTGAGGTTGAAAGTGCGGCTGTCTGCGGGTGAGTTGCGGCCGCAGATTGCGGCCGCAATACGGGCGCTTCTTCTGTAATTGCAGTCTTCCATCTCCTGAGACAACCCAAATCCCTATATCTCCCCATAAAACTTCAATCAATTGCAATCCATCACTACAGATTGATTGAGTAATATTATTAGATCAAATACATGGCGAATTACCAATCCCCCTTCCTGATGCCATCAAAGGCCGGCCCAAGCAGCAGGCCCATAGTATATAAGGGCAGACGAGGTCTCAGTAAATGAACATTATCTATCACAATCCATCGCAGACATACACTATTGTGTACTCAACTCACCAAGTCATTACCGATTCAAAATGCAAGTCCCCAGAGGCGACGGTACTCAAGGCAAGGGTAATGGTACTCGATTGCCCAAAGAAACTCTCGACCTCCTAGACGCCGTCGACTTCAGCGGCAAAACAATCTTGGTGACTGGAACTACCAATGGCCTCGGAGAAGCTGTCAGCAAGCATATTATTGTCCGCAACGTCGATAGGCTGATCATGGGCGTCCGGAATGTGCTTCGAGGCGAGGCGCTGAAGGTTAAACTGCTCGGCGACTCTGTTGTGGCAGCTGTAAACCCCAATGCCATTATTGATGTCTTTGAGCTTGAAATGGAAGATTACAAGAGTGTCGAAGCATTTGCTACTAAAGTTCAAGAGACGACACCTACACTCGATGTCGCCATCATGAATGCAGCTGTTGGTGGCCTACAGTACAGTACGGCGAAGCCAACTGGCCACGAGAAGATGCTACAGGTGGATGTGCTGTCTACCACTTACTTGGCTCTCAAATTAATTCCTCTTCTTGAGAAGACGGCCGAAGTCAAGGGCGCACCAAGCCGTCTCCTCATGGTTGGCAGCTGGACGCAGTTCGGCACCTCCATCGCCGAAGAGAAACTCACTCACGATGTGATCAAGCACCTTGATGACGAGGCCAATTTTGATCCTCGCAGATATCCTGACACTCAACTTCTCAACGGCTTAATTACCAACGAACTAGGCCAACGTCTTGACAAGAAGAAGGTCGTTGTAGTCGAGCCTACTCCTCCGTGGACTCTCACAAACTTTGGCGCAAGCTATCCTGAAGGACCAGCTAGGGAAGCTGCCAGAAAGATGATGGATGAAGTTGGATTGCCCGTCGATGAATCTGCGCTGACTTACATTGTTGCCATTGTCGCTAATGACGAGGTTCATGGCCAGTATCTCGACGATAACATGATTGCTCCGTAAGTGGTCTTCGAGCTGCCTAATTGAATGGCACATTCTCCGTTACTAACCTCATAAATCTAGTCGCTCTCCTTACTCTTTGAGCTCTGATGGCCAGACGCTGCAAAGGGAGCTCTGGAAGGAACTTGTGGAGGAGTTTGAGAAAGTTGACCCCACGATTAGCTCAGTCTCTGTCATTTAATCTGTCATTTATATCTCAAGATGTAGCTATACGTAAAAATTTCTCACTGGAGCAATTACTAGAAATTTTGTCTTTAGAGAAGTAGACTCTGTCATGTAATACGTACATCTACTTCACCAGCGTTAAACGCTGCTTCTCCCAAGTCTATCATACGTTTAGATAGGAGCCACGGATAGCTGCTTAAAACCATACATTCCATATACCCATCTAACAGTGAAATAAAATTGTGGACACATTTCCCCAAAGGCAAAGGCTGACGAATTCAGCTTGAATTAGCATCAACCATGACGCCTAGACACCAGCCAAAAGAGCCCGATTAAGGTGATGACATCATGATGCCATCAAGAAGGAGTAAAGTGTTTTTCCCTTTTTATATATATGTCCTGTATACGCGCAAAATCCTACCTCAAATGGCGATACCGACTCGAACTTTGACTTATAATGGGTAGATGCAATATGTACGGAAACCATCATCATGCTGCGGCCGTCGACAAATGGATACGTGTGGTGCTTACGTGATGCGCTTTACGAGGACAATTCCGACTCTTTCAACAACACGCTTCTCATCAACAGCACCTTTACAGGGATGGCCTTTAACATTTTCTATCCGCTCATTTATTTGACATACCTTTCTTTCCAATTTGCGAGGTTCTTTACAATACGCATCTTCCGGCTGGTAATGGCTCCCGTGAGGGGAAAGCCCGACATTGCGTCAAACGCGTGCTATTCATGCAAGACGAGAAAACGGCGGTGCGACAAGAAGCTTCCACAATGTCTCGAGTGCACAAAGTAGGCAAACCGCTCTTATTGACATATCATGAATCGGATATCGTTCACAACTGAGGAATAGAGCTGATGCAAGAGCAGGAAAAAGCGGCGCTGCAACTATGACTATGTTAACAAGATCTCACCCGTCAACTCTGAGCAATCGGATTCCTTTGAGGAAAACTATCTCTCAGTTCAATCAATAATCTGCCCCCCAAATCCATATACCCTTCCACCTTCCACTTTTCCGGCCTTGTATTTCGTCGATCCATCCGTCTTTCACAATCATCATGTCGAATTACCCAGAGCCAGCATACCGAGCTATGTTGCCGGAGAGCTCGGCAGCAACCAACAGCAGGAACAAATCGGTCGCCTTTTCTTTCACACCATTCATTCCTGGTTCCCCATGGTGTCTCGAAAACGCTTTTACGACGACTTGCATGTGTCCGCTGAAGGTGACACCACGGCTGCTGACTTGGGCTTCTTGTTGTTAGCCATGAAGCTGATGACTTGGCGCCCTCCTTCATCAGAAGGCGACGCTCCTGTGGTGAATCAGACAGCCAGAACGGCAACTTACCGCGCGGCAAAACAGTTCGGTTTTGAACTTGAAACGGCTGGGGTGATTTCTCTTCGTGTTCTTCAGGGCATGATTCTGGTGGCACTCTACGAGATCGGGCACGCAATCTATCCTGCTGCATTCATGTCGGTAGCAGCGAGTATACGGTACGCGCATGGCCTAGGGATACAACCTGGAGGAATGCAGAGGTTGAAACTACCGTTAACATGGGTGGAAGAAGAGGAACGGAAGAGGGTGTGGTGGTCTGCGTTCCTACTAGATCGGTGAGCTGAAGGACTACATGATACAAGATGTAATCATGCATTTCTAACCGTAGATTTAGACTCTCTGGCATGGCTTGTCCAGGCTGTCCAGCTGCGATTGATGAACCCAGACCAGAGGATCCTCTACCCACGGACGATGCGCTATGGGACGAAGGAGTAGGTATCTTGATCACGAATACATTCACCCTATAACAAGGCTAATGTATCTTGCAGGCTACAAAAGTGCCCTTTTCCCCCTTACTAAAAAACCCCGTCAGCATGGAGTTTGGGAGGTTTGCATTGCTGATACAAGCCTTCGTGCTACTATCCAAAGTGTTGCGGCTCACATCCTCGCGAGATGAACAATCACACCTTCTAAAGGACGAGGCACAGCAATTAGAACGCACAGTCAAGGCACTGCTTTACTTTGGACAGATGGAGTGCAAATGGCGAAACGGGGTTCCAAGCTGTGAGCTTCACTCAATCTCTCACATGTGAGTCATTATACCCCCAAGTCGCTACAGAAGAGCCAAAGCTGACCAGTTTGAATGCAAAGCTCTTTGATCACAATGTACACCTCCTCAAAGATTCCTGTTGAGATGCCGGATAATTTTGTAGAGCCTCTTGCAGACGTCTTGAACAGTTCCAATTACGAACACATGGTGACCGCAGCGCGCCGCGGACGAGACGAAATTTCGCCCTTTTTAATACAGATCTTATACCAGACATCAGTCCAACTCTTGAAGAGAGAACGTCCTAAAAACGGAGGAGACTGGGGCGAAACTCGCGTAGAGAAGCTCAAGGGCGCGTTGATGTGGCTGGACAAGAGGTGGCAGCTCGCAGGTAAGCTGCTTATTCGAGTCAAATTATTCGAAAGCGAGATCCATGAAGCTAACGGACGTCGCTTAGGAGTTTTCCGTCAGGCGCTAGAAGCCCAGCAAATCGCCTTGTCGAGAGAGACTTGATTTGTTGATTTGTTGATTAGTTGACAAAGTGGTGCGACGCCGACGGGGATGTTGATGGGGGCTTACCAATTGCTGCACCTTTGTCGATATAGTGAGGACATTTGGAGACTGTACATACTAATCACCGGACATAGTCGCACAGGTATAATACACTATTTCAAATAAATTTGAGGACTAGGACGTCGGTGGACACATGCACATGGACGAGTTATCGGTAATACTAATAGAAGCGCACAAAAACATCGCAATGTTGTACAGTGAATCAGCTTACTAAACGTCCTTATTCAATAGAGGATGGACTTGTCTTTTGATCTTTTAAGATGTGCTTATAGGTTGAAGCAATATCACGAGCTGTGCGGCTCACTCAGTGGAGAGCTATCAAATCCCTGTATAAGCGCGTTGTCATGATTTTGAACTCTGCACTGTAACGTTTATCCCACTATCGAGCATCTTCCAATATGCCCCAAGTGTATATAGCAACTCCAACTTGACTAGCCAAAAGAGCAATACATCCATTGGGGCAACAGATTACTTCAACAACTGTGGCGGTGCCAGTCTAAGAGATAACAAGCTCCAGCACTAAAACCTGAAGCTTACCGACAGACCGACCGAAATGGATGCTTGCTTTGTCATTGGCCCGTATTCCAAGCGTCGTCAATCCTTCGTAATTCATCTCATCATCACACGACTCTTCACTATCAATTTGCCTCCCCTCTTCAACCGCAGTTTCACAACCTTCAACCCCCAGTCCATGAGTTCACCGTAGCCTCGCTTCTCTTCTTCAACCGCCATGTCCAACAAAGGCGAGAGCGTCATCCTCCCCAGCAACGCCGTCTTCCTGGTCCACAAGGTCGGCAGCTCTAAACCCGGGCGCGAGATTCAATGGGAGACTCGGTCCAAGACGATGCGCGCAGCTCCCGACCCAACGCCCCTGACAACTACAGCACCAAGCGCAAGTAAAAGCGTCAAGGCCAAAAGCGACGCTGCCGACGGAGCATCGTGGGAGTTTGTCTCCTACACGCCTCGCAAGGACCAGCAGCTAGCAAGGCGACCAAAAGACAAGCGCAGGCGGCGCAATGAAGGCCCAACCGTCTCACCCAAAGAGCGATCCGTTGTCGTTCCCGTAAGACAGCAGCCGAAGTTGTCGTTGACTCAGAATCCAGCAGGCGGCATGTTTCCGGATCTGCCTGTGACCCTGGTTGGGCATGCGCTGCTTTATATCAACTTTTGTATGCTGCTTTACCATTTAATGACTGCATCTCAGAATAACTAACTGCGAGAACAAAGATTTCCACTCAATAGCCACTGACGCTTACACCCTTCCATGCCTGCTCTTCAACCCGGCCAAAAGGGACTGGTTCCCCAGAATGATGCAGGATGAAGCCTGGCGGTGCATCATCCTATCTCTATCCGCCAGCTCGCTTGCTGCGGTGACGGGAAACTCTTCCAACTATGTAGATTCCCACAGTCTTCTCGATGAAGCACTGCGGCAGCTCAAGGTTCGCGTCGCATCCGGCGCCCTTCCCTCTGATCAAACTCTGGGGGCAATTTCGTGCCTGTCCATGTGGAGCGTAAGTTCCTGAAACCTCTCTATTTTTCAGATCGTATTTCCCTCGTCGGTCGCATCGGCTAACGTGGTCCAGAATGAACAAGGCAATTACGACAAGGCGTGGATTCACGCCAAAGGCCTTGCCGAACTCGTCAAGTTACGAGGAGGCTTCTCCAAGATTAACGAGGGGATGAGATCCAAGTTGTACCGGTAAGAATTGCAAATCCACTCTTGAATAGCTCTCACTAACAATATTCTGTCAGAGGCGTCTTTGATATCGCGGTAGACCTGGATAGACCCCCGCTTATAGAAGGTCTCTGTAACTCTCCAAGTACTGCCTCTCTAGATAGTCCATGGTCGGAGGAATCTGGATCCTCTCTATCTGAATGCCGGATTCCAATGAGTCTTTTCGGCATATTCCAGGATGTCTTACAAGTCAGTACCACCATTGGCGATGCAATGACTCGAAACATCAAGCTGGACACGACTTATCTCTACGAAACCGTCTTTGGGCTCTATAACCGCCTGCTCAACTGCCAATCCGACACAATGCCCAGTTGCGACAACAGCCTGAGAATATGCCTCATCTTATACATCAAATCCATCGTATCACAAGACCGCCTCAACGTGACATCGATGAATTTGGTTCGCAAGCTCCAGGCCTCCATCCAAGGTTGTCTACACTCTTCCGCACCGTTGACAAGGTGGAAGCTGTTCATCGGCGGCCTAGCCGCTACAGATGGAACTTCTGAGCAGCAGTGGTTCATCCAACGTCTGGCAACGGCCGTGTCAGAGAGCAACATGTCTGGCGAGGATGGCTGGAAGTCATTGCAGGCGGATCTGAGCGATATCTTGTGGGTTAAGCCAATCCATGAGACCGCTGGGCATAAACTGTGGCTACAGATTGAGGAAACTCGTTCTACTTGATTACAGATGCTCGTTTGACAATACAGGCTTGGGATTTGCTTGAAAATTGTATGTCCAACAATACACAGCTCAATCAACGTTACTTCATTGCTGAGAGATCGGATATGCGTCCCAAGTAGTTACGCACTTTAGCTATTCGCAACTGCTCCTCTGCTGAACCTCCCCATTCACACAACAGAGGAAATCAACCGCAATGGATGATGTAATTGGACATACTGCATCCAAAATAAATACATCCTGCAAGTACTCTCAGCAATCCAGCACGGCCATAGTTCGCCCATGAATCACGCTGCACTGAGCGCCACAAACAAAACAAATCCATCTTGATAACGACTATGGTTCATCCCACCAAAAGTATACCTGGTTACCACCGCAACGTGCAATGTTCACTCCGCAACCAGAGTTTGTTTAATCAACAAAACTGAGCTACTAAAGTTATTTCTGTGGTGTACGAGAAACCACCACAGGATTGCGTAACAAGAACTCTGATATGACGATAGTTTTACAATGAGTCACTGGTCGATGAAGCATCCTTTATCCAGGGGAAGTATAAAAGCAGTAATTGCGTTGTTGATAAACCAGTTGCTACCACTTTGCAAATGTCGAGATGAAAACATACAAGGAAATGCTTCTAGTCAACAAAATAGTATCACCTTTGTCCAACGGAAGAAACGTCAAAGACATTGAGCTACGTTATATAGTCGATAAGATATATCGTTTGATGTTATGTATTTCTCAATTGCTCTTCCGTCTTGTCATAGAATCAATGTTTATCTGAAGCAGCAATCTATTCTCCCACATCTCCGCAGTCTACGTAGTCAATGGCGCACTCCAGGACTATATTGAGTTCTATTCCACTTCATCCTATCTCTCATCTACCGAAACTATAGATAAGTCAAGTTCAAACGATAAACATCCAGAAGGTAATCTGAATTCAAACCCGCCTCTCTCTGCTAGCGCCTGGAAGCGGCTATATAAAGGGTCCTCGTCCCCCCAGCTCCCCTCTCCTTTCCTCATCTTAACACACACTCACACACACACACACACACACACCCAACCCAAGCTTTTTCCACACGCTCACATAATCCAAAGCTCACTCTCAGCAGTACAACCTCTCTTGTACCTCTCCACAAACATCCACCACTTCAAACAACAACGCCTCTCAACCTCACCCGCCACACCAAACCACAACATCGTCCAGCCATGTCTTCATCCGGACAAACAAACCAGCAAGCCATGGACGATTCCGTCCAAAAGAAACTCGCAGAGGAGCAGCGGATCAATGATCCTGTTGCCATGAGGAATCTGGCGGAGGACCTCTACAATTTCCAAATTAGGGACCAGATCCAATTCGTGGCACTGCCACAGTGGAGGAAGTATGACCGGCAAGCGGTGAGATGGGTGGTATCTGGGCCAGTAAAGGTCCCTCCATGGGCTCCAAAGAAGTAACTCGGTCGGGAGGGGGGGGGGGGGGGGGGGGGGCCAAGAAGGGAATTTGGGAGGATCATGGGGATACAGTTTGTTTGTTTACTTTGTTTGTTTACTTGATCAGAATCGTTCAAATGTTAAAATGAAAGTATATCTTACCTGCCAGAAGTCTATTATAATGGAACTGATTAACTCATACGCAAGATTTACGTACGTGTACATGCAGACAGCACCCCAAAACACTGTATAATCCTGTATTAAAAAGTACCTCGACTGTTTCCATCATGTCCCTCAACAAAGGAAGCTGGCCAAGCTACATGTACCCGGTCTGTCGTAATCTGGATCGGACTGAAGAGGAAGAGACAGAGAGCGTCCGAGTAGTGAGAAGGCCGCAAACGAGGTCCCATTGAAATAATGATAGGAAATTCATGTTTCAAGATGACTGTTGTAGCTTTCCGTCAAGCAACAGGCCTTGTATTGTTATTCCACAAGACACGTTGGCCATGAGCGACATCACTAACATCACTTCCTGCGATGTAAACGAGGTCATGAACACCCTGCAGAGTGTGGACGGAGTTTCTGCGGAATTCCTCCAGCGTATAATTCCGTCCTCTGTAGAGTTCGGCGAAGGTGCCCCATAACAGATGGTACTTTTCACGCTCTGTATATATACGATCCACAAGTCTATGGTAGATGAAAAGATTACATGACATGGTGCCCTACATAACTCCTCTTGCTCCCCTTTTGCTGCAATTGTATCCCTCTTTTATCACATCTCATAACTCATCACGTTCATGCGGCACGTCAGGCCGCCCGCTATCTTTGTGCAAGTCCACGCCCTTCTTAAGCCTCCACTTCTCCCAGAGGTCCCAGAATTCGCCCTCCATCTTCTGGTCCATCTGGTCGGGCAAGATGACTTCGTATGTAACGTATAGGTTTCCAAATTCGTGAGTGTGGTAGACGCTCTCGCCCTCCTCGTGCCACTTGGGCATACCCTCTCCAGCAACAGTTTCCACGTGTCCGCTCTGAATGACTTGACCCCGTTCGCGGCCAAGACGTACAACATGCTTGTCGAGGTGGGTGAGGTTGCGAGTCCAGCCGCCCATCCAGGCCTCGCGTAGGGAGAGGACTTCGGTCCAGTACAGGTCGTGGCCTTTACGCCGGAAGAAAGTACCGTCGACATGATCGGGGTTATCTTCGTAGGATGGAGCCTTCTCACCCAGGTTGACGATGAGATCGCCGGGAACCCAGTCGGGACTCTGATCGGCTTCGTTCTCGAACACCACTTTGGCGTCTCTTGCAACGCCTCTCTCCACGGTCAGGCTAATGGTCGCCAACTTGCGCTCGACGCGGCTGCCATGGCAGATGGGACACTTGTTCTTAATGGTCTTTCCCGAGCCGCCACAGTGATCGCAGCGAACCTGCATCTGCTGAAACATGCCAGGAACAAGCTGCTGCTTGACGATCCGGATACCGTGTCCACCGCAGACATTGCAGGTTTCGACCTTTCCGTCCGCGCTGCCTGATCCCTCGCACCTTTCGCAGATATGCTGCTTCTCCCACTGGAACTCGGTCGTTGCGCCGTTGTAAAAGTCGCGAAGGGAAATCTCTACTTGAACTTCGATGTTGCTGCCTCGGGGCTCGCGGTTGGATCTGCCAAAGTGACCGTGGCCACCAAAGAATCTGCTGAACAGGTCATAGGGATCGCCGCCGCCGCCGCCACCACCCTGGCGATGGGACTTGACGCCCTCGTGGCCATAGCGATCGTACACCTTGCGAAGCTCGGAATCGCTCAGGACTTCGTAGGCCTCGGACACTTGAACGAATTTCTCGTGCGCAGTTTCATCGCCTCTAAAACAACAGAGCAGTCAGTTGATGTTGGCAAGTAGAGAGGCTGGGTCTAGTCAGAGGGTGGCGTACGGGTTCTTGTCTGGGTGGTATTTCTTGGAGAGCTGGCGATACGCAGACTTGAGCTGCTTGTCTGTGGCAGATTTGTCGACTCCCAGAAGCTAATGCGAGCTGGTTAGCATGGTTGATACTCGAGGAGAAGAAGGAATCTTGTCGCACTTTGTAAAAGTCTTCGGCGCAGAACGCAAGCGATACCAGCGCCAGCAAGACGAAGATCGCCCCGCGAAGTATCATGATGCAGATGCTTTGTGAATTCCGCCAATGAGGTTCAAATTGAAAGAATAAAAAAGAAATTAAAAAGGGAATCAGAGATCTGAAGGGATCAAACAGCCAAATCTCCCCTTCTGAGCTGCTTTTGTGGCAGGGCTGTGCAAAAGGAAAGACGAGCTCGACACAAGGCCGAACGACGGTTTGTAAGTTCAAGTTTACAGCGTGTTAACATTTCCAGCGGCATTCAATGGGCCGAATTAGCCTGCAGCATGCATCATCGCCGATAAGCCGGTTGGCAGCGCTATCGCAGCGCGCCGATTGGCTGGCGGATGAACAGCGGACTAACGAGAGTCCCCAGCATCTCCATCTCCACTAAAATTCGACGCTGGCTCTCTACTTTAGGCAAGCATCGCGTCTCACTCCCACCTTGAACAAACTGGCCGCGGTCAAGCCAGAGAAACGAAACAAGGAGCATCATCATCATCTCTCTCTCTGCCTGGTTCAACCGAGGTGAGGCTTGTTACTGTTATTGTTCCAGTCCAGCCCAGCCCAGCCCAGCAGGATGAGTTCCAAGAAATACGCCTTTGTCCCGATGGACGACGGCGGTTCTTCCTCGGATCGCCACCAGGAGAGCCGCATGAGGTCGCGGCAGGAGTATCTCAAGAAGAGAGAGGCTGAGCGTCTGGCCCTGCTGAGGAGGCAAGTCGCCGAGGAGACGGTAGAGCTCAGGAGCGGCGTCAGGCTGTCGGAGAGGGAAAAGGCAGAGTTTGCAAAGAACAGAGAGCTGCTGCGCTTGGCCGAGGAGCGGCTGAGGATCGACGACCACCAGGATGGATACGTGATGCCAGAGGATTACATCACCGAAAAGGGGAAATTGGACCGGAAAAAGAAGGAAGAGGCGCTGTACAAACGCCATGTCGAGCGGGATGAGTACGGCCAGGAGAAGTTTGTCACCGAGCACGACGAGTGGGAGAGGGAGCAGACCACAAAAGCAAAGGCGCAGATCCAGGGCCGGGAACGGGAAAACGAAGACTACAGCTACGTCCTGGACGATGCCCAGTACATCCAGTGGAGCCTGGACTCGCGGATGCCAGGCGAGCGCAAGACTCTGACCAAGGAGCAGCAGTTTCTGGAAGCCCAGATCGAAGCAGCAGAGAAAAAGGCCCTGTCCATCCAGGAGACGAGAAAGAGTCTGCCCATCTACCAGTACCGGGATCAGTTCTTGGAAGCCTTGGAGCAGTACCAGATCCTTGTCATTGTAGGTGAAACCGGCAGTGGCAAGACTACTCAGCTGCCTCAGTATCTTCATGAGGCCGGTTATACAAAGAACGGCATGAAAGTTGGATGCACACAACCACGACGAGTGGCTGCCATGAGTGTAGCTGCTCGTGTTGCCGACGAAGTTGGTGTCAAGATTGGCCACGAAGTCGGCTACTCTATCCGATTCGAAGACTGCTCCAGCGAAAAGACAGTTCTCAAGTACATGACGGATGGTATGTTGCTGCGAGAGTTTATGACTGAGCCAGACTTGGCAGGGTACTCGGCCATCATGATCGACGAGGCCCACGAGCGGACGGTGCATACGGACATTTTGCTGGCCCTGGTGAAGGACCTGGCGAGAGAACGGAAAGACCTGAAGCTCCTCATCTCTTCTGCTACCATGAACGCCGAGAAGTTTGCGCAGTATTTCGACGACGCTCCCATCTTCAACATCCCGGGTCGACGCTATCCCGTTGACATTTACTATACCCCTGCTCCCGAGGCCAACTATCTAGCTGCCGCCATCACAACCGTGTTCCAGATCCATACAACCCAGGGCAAGGGAGACATTCTCATTTTCCTCACCGGACAAGACGAGATTGAAGCCGCCGAATTGGAAATTGCCGAGACAGCAAAGAAGCTAGGAAATCGCATCAAAGAACTCGTCATCTGTCCCATCTACGCCAACCTGCCATCGGAACTCCAGGCCAAGATTTTTGAGCCTACTCCCGATGGCGCGCGCAAAGTCGTACTGGCAACAAACATTGCCGAGACAAGTCTGACTATTGACGGCATTGTATATGTCATCGACCCCGGCTACGTCAAGGAGAATGTCTACAACCCAGCCACCGGCATGTCGAACCTAGTCGTCGTCCCTTGCTCTCGAGCATCAGCCAATCAGCGGAGTGGTCGTGCCGGACGTGTAGGGCCGGGCAAGTGCTTCCGATTGTATACCAAGTTTGCTTACATGAACGAGATGGAGGAGTCACCGCTGCCGGAAATCCAGCGGACAAACCTCAACGGTGTCGTGCTGCAGCTCAAGTCACTGGGCATCAACGAGCTTTTGGACTTTGAGTTTATGGATCCGCCTCCGACAGAGACTCTCATTGGTGCTTTGAACCAGCTGTTTGCCCTCCAGGCTCTCAACCACAAAGGCGAGCTGACCAAAATCGGTCGACAAATGGCCGAGTTTCCCACGGATCCCATGCTAGCAAAGGCCGTACTGGCAGCCGACAAAGAGGGTTGCGTAGAGGAGGTCCTCTCCATCGTCTCCATGCTGGGTGAAGCATCTGCGCTCTTCTTCAGACCAAAGGACAAGAAGATTCATGCCGATAGCGCCCGAAACCGCTTCACCATCAAAGACGGCGGCGACCACGTTACACTGCTCAACATCTGGAACCAGTGGGTCGACAGCGGCTTCTCACCCATCTGGGCCAAGGAGAACTTTCTGCAGCAGCGGTCTCTGACTCGCGCCCGAGATGTGCGAGACCAGCTAGCCAAGCTCTGTGAGCGTGTCGAGGTCGCTCCCTCGACATGCGGCGCCACCAACCTACGACCTATTAAGCGTGCCATCACGGCTGGATTCTTCCCCAACGCTGCACGCCTGCAGAAGAGCGGCGACAGCTACCGAACGGTCAAGAACAGCACGACTGTGTGGATTCATCCAAGCAGCGTGCTAATGTCAATAGACCCGCCAGAAAAGATGGTGATTTACTTTGAACTGGTGCAGACGACAAAGGAGTATATGCGCAGCGTGATGCCGATTGAGGCCGGATGGCTGGCCGAACTGGCGCCTCACTTTCACAAGAAGAAGGACATTGAGGCGTTGGAGGAAAAGAAGATGCCAAAGCAAGGGCGATGAGATTGATATTCCAGCACTCGCCCTTTTGTTTCATTCTCACATCTTGGTATAATGCTACATGCATACATAATATGACAATCGCAGAACAAAGGACGCTTAGTTTTCGGCCTCGTCCTCCCAACGGTACACGATCTCCGTCCTCATGGTATACTTGGTTCCTTCGATTACATCCGCTCCCTCGTGTAACAGCAGAGGATGCTGGAAAATGAGGACGCTGCCCGCTTTGGGATTGACATCCAGGCGCCGCTTCCGATCAGGCGACAAAAAGGCGGTTGCGCCACCGACTAGGCCTTCGTCGTTGAGGTAGACATGCAGGGTATAGTACGTCTCTATGATGGTGCCATCGGGGTTGTTGGCTCGGTACGCCGCGTCACAGTGTGCTGAGATGGCATGTTAGCTGCTGAAACATCCGGAAGGGTGGCAGAGAATATTCCGTCTCGCACGATTCTCAGCGAGTCTGCTCTACTTACGTCTGAAGAACATGCCAGGCGTGTACTTGAGGAAGCGCATCCGCTCGTTCAGCCCATGAAACTGCCATGTGCCCTTTCTGCCGCGGCTGTGGTCCGGCCTTGAGCACGGGGCTGTGGCAACCAGCTCTTGCAGTCCCTCGGCTTGAGCACAACGATCCCACAGACGGTCCACGAGAAGCTGCTTGTCCCAGATGATGCGGTCGCTGTTGCGGTAGCCCGGAGCCCGAGTTTCCACCCCGGGCGCGACGCTTACCAGAGCAGGTCTCCAGGGCGAGTCTTGCGGCTTTTCGCGCGGCGCCGAAGCCTCGGCCAGGGCAATCAGCTCCTCGCACTCTTGGCGGGAGAGGACGTTGTCGAGGATCCAGGCTTTGCACTTGGCATACTCCGGCACGTCGGACTCTTTCCACGGCACTGGGCGGAATGTGACGGGATCAGCGGCCGGGCCGGTGAGAAAGGATTCGGGAATGTCAACGGGGTTGGACGAATAATCCACGCGGATGAAGCCGTTGGCAGCCCGACTGGCAGACATGTTGGGCTGTTGTTCAGGCGCTGTAGAGGTAATGGATTTGAGGAGCCTGGAGAGCATGGTGTTGGTGTATAAGGAGTATGCGTAGCGTATATATATAATAATAATAATTGGAGGCTGAAAACGAACTGGGGCTTCACCGTAATTCTGGCCGCGGACTGCGTTGTGTGTTTGCCTAAAGCTGCTAAAAGATGCGACTTTATCTTATTATTGATCAATCCCGATCCCTGAAGCCCATGGGCGCGGGTGATCCTTTTATATACGTCACTTTGCTCAACATCAGACAACACGATAAGAATCTTACGGACAAGTGGCACAATCAGAGAGTAGCGAGAAAAGGGGAATGATTCAATTGGATTTCTGTCCTCTTGTGTTGAAGAACTCGGGGGAGGCAGTGCATCCTGTTGCCTAACGGGAGTGAGACGGTTGCAGGCGGAGCCCCCAGCCCAGCAACCGGCATGATTCCGGTTGACACATAACTTGAAACGTGGTTTACTTTGTTTTCGAGGACAATTTATTCAATGCTGAGTTATTCGAGTCAGGCTGAATATCGAAACAATTCGGGCAGCGAGCTGAACGCTGTGCACTTCCATTGGTATCACTGACTCACATTTCGCCTAGGTATACATAGCTAGGACTGTTGTGATTTCATATGGATTGGGGAGTTGAGCGAATACGTGGCTCTTTGACAAAGTCGGTCAATGCACAATTGTATACTCTGTTCTTTTCTCGTTATTGTGATGCTTCCGGCTGCTTGAAACGGCACACGTTGAAGCACTCGCTAAACAGACATACCCTGCATCTCAGCCTCACACATTCATTATTAAACGCAGTTTTTCATCAAACACTTATATCATACAAGTCATTCATCAAAATACAAGATGGAATAAACAAACTTCATTAAACAAAAGAAAACGAGTCATTTCATCCAATCTCCATCTCATTAAACCCCACCACTGATAACCACATCATCATCATCATCATCATCATCGTCATCATCATCATCATCATCATCATCATCATCAAAGAAAATCATCATCAAAGAAAATCATCATCAAAGAAAATCATCAATAATCATCAATAATCATAAGCACTCGCTTCTTTTCTATAAATCTGACCAAAAAGAAGAAAGGAAAACAAACAAGCCAAAAATCAAACTTTGTCCATCATTTCTTGTATCCGATATATATATTAAAAGAGAAAAAAAAAACAAATTCATCAATCATAACGTAGGTAAAAAACAGAAGAGAGACATGACATCGACACAAAACAGTAAGAAATATATCGTCATCAAAGTCGTCATCGTCATCAAATCATCCCAGTCATCTCCGCCTCTTGTGTCTCCTCTCCCTATCATCATCATCATCCTCAATCTGTCTGCGTCTCCCCTCTCCCTCACCACCACCACCACCACCACCAGGGGGTTGCAATACTCCCGCCAACGGTCCCGCCAACTGTCCCAGCATGTCACCACCGAGAACCTCCCCAATCACACTCACCCAGCTGCGTCGCCCCTCCAGAGCCCCCGTCACGTTTCTCACCAGTTTTTCGATTTGCTCGGGGTCAGTTCCGCCAAGCGCCCATCCGCCGTGGACATCCAAGCCGCCAGGCCGTTGTGCTGGACGGTGAAACTCGCCGCTTCGAGTAACGACGCGGCTCTTGCCGTGACGTCCGCCATCCAGTGGTTTACCATGCGAGTCGAAACGATCAGGTAGATTTTCAACATCGTCGTCTGAATCAGAGTGACGGTGTCTCCGACGTCTACCTTCGCCATCGCGGTTGGGAGAGCGGTCGTGCGTCGTGTCAGATGTTAATCGACGGTGGCGGCTCGACCGCTTGAATTGATTCTCGCGCCGCTTGTCGTCCTCAGGCTCGGAACTGTCTGATTCAGACTTGACGTCGTGCTCCTTTTTGTGCCTCTGCATTGTCTTGGAACTCGTCGGAGAAAGCGGTCCAAACGACACAGACTTTCTCCTACGAATGGGAAACACAATCGGGGGAATCTCGATGCGAGGCGGTGGCAGTGCCTTGAGCGGTTTTACAACCTCTAGCGCTACACGTTAGCTTCAATGGACGACTTTCCCCTGTAACAAAACCTGAACCAAACGGGATTCAAGGTAGTGCCGCACAAAAGTACGATTCAGACGCACCCTCATGTCGTCCACCTTTCTGATTAGGCAGACTGTTGCTTCTGGAGAGGTCACTCACTTGATCATTCGGGAAGATGCCGCCCGCCGGTGGTCCTGCAGGGGGAGGTCCGGGCGGAGGTGCCGGACCCGAAGTGGGCGGACCAGCCGGCGGTGGAGGTGCGTAACCGGGTATTCCCGAGGAGTTGACGCGAAGCGGCGGTCCGGAGGGTGGCGGGGGACCGGCCGGCGGAGGCGGAGGAGCATACCCGTGGTAGTCTTGTGGCACGTAGGGGTGGTACTCCCGAGGTGGAGGCACGTTGGGATCAGTATATGGCGTGTAGCTGTGCTCTCGCGGCGGAACACCAACGGGCGGCGGGACCGCTGGCGGTGGAGGCGGAGCTGGGGGAGGAATGCTGGTAGGAGGGGGAGCGGTTCCGGGAGTGCTCGATCCCGGAGTCATGGGGTAAGGGGGGTAGTAGGCACCGCCAGAGGCAGTTGGGGGGGAGTGCGGCCTGCCTTGGTCAAAGAAGCCGCCGTTGGGAGGGACATCGGGATAGCCTGCACAAAGCTCAAAAGTAAGTTATCGTTTACAGACAGCCAGCTTTGCTGGGCTATGAGGGGTTGGGGGGATTCTCACGTTGTCCTTGCTCATCGCGCTCCCTTGAGCGCCTCTCCTTGGAGCGCCTCTCTCTCTTCTCCTCTCGTCTCTCGTCTCTCCGTTCCTCTCTCCTCACCTCGCGCCTCTCCTCTTCCTTTGCCTTCTTCTCTCTATCCTTGCGGTCCTTGTACGCTTTAATCCCAGCAGCCGCTGCGCCCGCGGCCGCTGCGTCTCGTAGCTCACTCCTGCTCCTGCTGCTGCTCCGCTTCCTCTCTTCATCGGATCCAGAAGAGGAAGGGTCTCTTTCACGTCTTCTCTGTCGGTTTCGTCGCCTCTCCTCGGCCTCGGATTCATATCCTTGGCCCGTGGGAGAGCGCGGATCGGGTGGTAGGGGATCGTGCCCGTACTCAATCAAGCCTAGCCCAGGATCAGCCGCGGTGTCGGAATAAAGGGATCTGGCCCTCGACCTGCTCCTGCTCCTGCTCCTGCTTCTGCTGGGAGAGTCGCGTCTATCATAATCGCGATCGTGATGATCGTCATCGCTGAATCCACGAGAGGTCGAAGCCTCTCTCTCTCTCTCCTTCTTCTTGTCGTGGTGGTCCTTCCACACCTTGCCGGCTATGCCAGCGGCGGCAGCGGCGCCGGCAAGCTCAGCGCCACGCCGCAACGTCGACTTGCTACGAGATCTGCTCCCATGTCGTGACTTGGATCGCGACTTTGACTTGTCGCGGAAATGCTTGACCAGGCCGGCGGCGGCGGCGGTCCCGACGGCGGCCTTGGCCAAGGTCGAAAGGCTGCGCTTACGGCTGGGTCGGCGCGAGCGAGAGCGAGAGCGAGAAGAATAGTCATCGCCGGAATAGTAGCCACGGCCCCGGCTGCGGCCCCGGCGTTTTTCTTCCTTTTCGGCTTTGCTGGCCTGGTGGTACTTGACGGCACCGGCCGCAGCGAGAGCAACCGCCGCAATGCCGAGACTCTTTTTGAGCGTAGAGTGGCGATCGGGGGATTCGTCGCCGTCTCCCCAGCGATCCTCGTATGCACTGTGAGCTCGCCTGATGGCCTCGGTCCCAAGAGCTCCCAGAGCAGCGCCGGCGAGGACCTTCTTGCCTCGACCCTCGGCGACCTCTCCGTACTCATTGGGACGACTTGAGAGCAGGGCAGTGATGCCAGCGCCGGCAAGGGCACCCTCGGCGAGGTGGCGCTTGTGGTGATCCGAGCTCTGGCTGCGGTTGCGGCGAACGGTGCGGCGAGAGTAGTAATAGTCATCCTCGTCGCTGTGGTAGTCATCGCGGCGGTGCTGGCGGCGGTCGCCGACCTCTCTCCGCTCACGGCGGTAATAATACTCTTCGTCGTAGGGAACACGGGCGATCTCCCGCTCGCCCTCTCTCTCCCTGAGCACAATGATGTTCGGGTCCTGTCTGGGAATGACAATCTGCTGCGGGGGCGCTTCCTGGACAATGATTTTCTGGTCCGGGGCGCGCTGGCGCACAACAACAGGCGAAGAGTGCTCCGGCTCTCGGTAATACTCGGTTTCCTTGCGATAACGCTCAACCTCGTGGCCGTGGTTGTCGTCGAAGCGCTCCTCAACCCTCTTTTCGATGCGCACGTCCTCATCATGATGGCGGGGGCGTCTCTCCCAGTCGCGGTCCGTCTCACGGCGCTCAACATCTCGCTCGTAAAAGACGGTGCGAGTGCGGTCGCCCTCAACATCGACGGCGGAGCGCGGCCTGTCGGGGACGTAGCGCTCTCTCCGCTCATACTCTACATAGTCGTTGTTGCGCTCTCCAGGACCGGAGTAGCGCGAGCGTCGTTCGTCGTCCATCTCAATAAACTTCTCAGTGCGGTCGTATCGTTCTATTCGCGGCTGGTTGACCTTGTATCGGGTAACGGTGGTGCTCTTGAAGCGCTCGTCGTCAGAATCACTTTCGCGGCGTTCTCGATAGACCCGGGTGGTTCTATAGTCGGCCATTGCTCCAGCCCAAGCACTGCCTATCTCACTGCCTAACTCTCTCTTTCTCTCGCAGTTCTCTTCACAGTGTCTGTCTTTGGTTGTCTGCTGCTTCTGCTGCCGTAGAGACGTCACTCAGAAGAGCTAAAGGTACCGGAAGATGAGGCGGGAAGAGAAAAGGCAGCCAGGCAACCAGAGGGACACAGTAAAAACAGTAGAAGGATCCCAGGAGGCTGAAGAGCACAAGGAGGGGTAACGGTTGTGTGTGGGAATGCAAAGGATATGACGCAGAAGAGTCGCAGAGGCCGAGGAACCCCTGCTGTAATAGGGCTTTTGGGTGTCGAGGCGGCACCAACGGAGGGAGCAGGATAACGTCAGGACAGTACCAATAGCGGGCCTCTTTGGCGGTGGGCAGCTGATGACGATGTTTCATTGGGGAGAGCAGAAGCTGCTCGAAGGGGTGGGCTGCTGACTTTGAGGCCTTGTGAGCCAGCTAACGGGGAGGCTAGACAGGGCCCTGGTAAGGCTAAGGCGAAGCTGTGATTTCTGCAGTCCAGTCTTTTGTGCCCGGCTGGGTCGTGGTCATGTCGGCTCGTCAGCTCGGGCATCTCGCAGCTGCTTCTGCTGTCTTGTCTCTTGTCTCGCCCTGTCTCGTCTTTGGATGGCCTCTCTCGCGTCATCCCTTGACAGCAAATCGCCTCATCATCAACATCAACATCACCGCCAGCATCGCCAACATCACAACAAACAGCGTCTCGTCTCTCCCACCCCCTCATCCCTCATCCCTCATTCCCACAGTGCACCCCAACACGGTACAACTGTTACTGATCGTTTTCCCGTCTTCTCTTGGCTCCCCCTCCCCTCCTCTCTTTCTCTGCATTCGTGCCCTCACCCACCACCCCTCCCCCTCTCGACAAACCCAAGCAACCCAGCTGTGGTTGGTCACCTGCATGAATCTGGAAGAAACGAGCACCGCCTTGTGACCAGGCAGAAGCGTGGCGCGGGGCCTCAGTAGGTCGGTCTGTTGCATCCACGAGGGCGCCAACTTGTTGCTTGTCTCAGACGGCGAGAGCTCAGCACCACCCAATCCTGATCCTGCATATGCTGTGGCACCGTCTCAGCCTCACTTTTTTCTTCTTCTTCCAGATATTTCCCTCCCAACTGCTTCTGTTCTGTTCCCATTCTCTTGGCCGGCATGCTGTGCTGCGCTTTGCACCCAACGTCATGGATCAGGGCCCCAGTGTGACGCCCAGGTTTCATTTACCCGCGTTGGAGAGTTTGGAGGAGGCCCGGCCATTCTTTGGTGTCCTCGCATCGCGCCGTTCCGCGCTAAAACGCCCCCCCGTTGCTTCTTCCATCTTCTACTGGAACGGAGGAGACCGTCCTGGTTCCTGGACTGGACTGGGCAAGCAGGTGAGTACAAGTACAGTACTCGTATGTACTCGTGAAAAATGCCAGGGAAAAAAAGCTGTTGGCGAGGAGGGGAAACTGTGCTTGGGCTGGGCGGGAATGTCGTCATGGCTCCATTTTAGGCCTGTCGCTTCCAGCAGCCCACTAAATCCCACCCAGTAGGTCAGTTTATGCACAGAATAGTAGCTGCATTCCTGGCACCATCAACAAGGCATCACCGAAAGGAAGATGAAAATTGACTGCCAAGTGAATGCCGCATTGACCCGTGGAGCGCCCTTCGGCCATTGCCGGCATGCCTCCAAATCAGCCTGCCAACTTTGACTTGTGCGCTACCAGAGATTGCGCCCTACCAGCATTACTACCGGTTGACCAGTATTACCGGGCTTCCATGGTACCAGTCTTTTATTGGCAGCCGCCTTGTATGCCCTGAAAAGTGCCATTCAGCCTACCGGAAAGCCGACGGATGAGCCCAATGGCGCTTATGCCAGAGACTGCTGTCCCTTACAGATGAAAGCCGAGAAAGCCGCCCAGAAGCCGGCGTTGGCTCCGAGAGGCCATTCTGCAGCCGCTCATTGGTTGCGAGGTGAAGAAGAATCCTGGATATCCGATTTCCATGTCTGTATGTATCTAAGGTACGATATGCTGCTATGTTACGACTTTGCTATACTCGGTTCACAACCTCTCAAAACCGCCCAAAGTGCCTACAAGTATGGTAAATGAAGAGACCAATCAAGATGTACCAAAAAAAAAAAAAAAAAAAAAAAAAAAAGAGAAAGACCATGCACCAGCTACGCCTCGTTTTGACCCAATCTGAGGGTTTTTGAATCCATATACACCCGCAGCCAACAACATCTATCCATCGACTGCTACTCATCGTACCCGTGCTTGTTGCCCAAAACGCCGATACCGCCGTTGCTGCGCCGCCTCTTGCCAATCACCTCGCGCACCCAGTCGCTCAGCGTAAACCCCCAGTGGCCAGCCACCATGACGCCGCTGAAGATGTTGACAATCTTGACCAAAAAGGTAAAGAAGCCGTCGCGGGATTCCTCGACGCTCAGCATGATGGGCTCGATGTCGTACTTGAAGAAGATGCCGGGCACTTGGTGGTCCGAGATGACCTTGCTCTGCTCCGTGACGGCGTACTGGTTGGTGTTGACGATCCTGTTGCTGGTGAGGTAGACGGTGGGGACGACGGAGAGGTAGTACTGGAACTTGTGGAAGTGAACAATGGCTGGGTTGACGGTGCGGTCGAGGGGGTTGACGAGCGATGGGTAAAAGGGGCCGTAGGACATTTCCGAGATGATGTGAGAGAAGTTGAACTCTGTGAACGCCGTTAGTCAGAAGATAGATTCTCAACAATGACGGGTGAGAGGGTAAGATTCAAGAACAAAAAAAAAACACATACTGTCGTGGTCCAAGTGCTGGCCACCATAGCCATGGCCTCTGGCCGTGATGTGAAAGTCGCCCTGCACCCGGTTCAAGTCCAGGCTGCCATACATGCGGCAGCTATCAGGCCTGCCCCTCGGCGACGGCGTCTTTGCCCACTTGGCCTTTTTCCGACTGAGAGCCACAATGTCGTGAACATGCTCCTCGCCAAAGCCCTCATCGTGGGCGCCGTGCCAGCCTTCGCCAGTGTCCAGCTTGCCATTCTCGCTCTTGCCGAGCCTGTGCATGCCCTGTGCGTCAACCCACTGGTGCCAGGTCGTGGCATCGCGCTTCAGCTTGTCTCCGGCAAGGATGCGATCGCCCGAAGCGTCCTGGACGTTGACGTGGAGGTCGTTGCAGTCCATCTTGACAACAATGTCGAGGTTGACCTGCATGTCGTGCCCGATGCCCTTTTCGACGGCAAACGTGTGATGCTCGGCTCCGCGCCACCATTGGCCCATCTCGGTCCACAGGAAGATGCTGGAGATGAAGAGCATGGCGACGGTCCATTTGCCGCCGCCCGACGTCTTAGTCACATACTGAGGTTTTGATTTGGCTGCAGCGGGAGGGATTAGCACACGCGACTCGATGGCAGGCAATGCAGAGCCGCTATATAGGTAGCTTGGGGGGTCAGGTCGTACGGAATGCATCAAAGGCGCTGACAATGCCACCCTTTGCGCCAAAGTCGTCCTCATTCAGGCTCGACTTCTCGAAGCCGTCCATTGTGGAGATTCGTGATTCTGTAGGAGATGTCTATTGTTCAAAGGGTCGAAATGGGCATTCAAGCAGCCGAGACAAAAGCAACAAGGCGAATAAGAGACAAGAGAGGACCTGGGAAAAGAGAAGCCCACTGGCAGATGGCAGGCTACGGCTTGTTGAAGGCTACCTCATTCCACGGAAGCTGCAGCTTGTCGACCCGCGCACTCCAGCGGCTCAATTCGATCCAATGGAGGCGTGCGCAGCGTCGGGATCACGATTCGGCCTCAACCAAGTGCTGCGGCGCATGTGAAAGCACCTTGTTTGACGGCATCAGCATCAACGTCTGTCCGTCTTGGAAACCACAGCTGGACACGTCTCCAATTCGCTTCCCTGCCGCCAAGGCCGACGGTGATTGGCCGAGGGGTTGCGACCGGAATATCGGCGGCCCGGTGGTCTGGAACGCTCACCGGCATGCTGGACGGTGGCTGATTTCCAGCTCAGCAATGGGCGCTATTGATTGCAAGAAATGCTGCCAAATATGGGGTGCGGGTTGTCTGTCCCATCTGGATCTACGGAGGGATTTTGAGGGATTGAATCATTTGCGTTGGTTTGACTCATGATCATACTCCGTACAGTACTTGATCGTCTGTTGCTCCGATTCCGTGTTGTCCAGAGGTACCAGACGAGGCTAAGAATGGTACATGAAGCTACGCGTTGCTCTGCACTCTGCAACAGGTACATGCACCATTTGCAAGTTCCACGCACTGTAACAATACCGACCGACTGTCTGGTAGCACACTTGGCACAGTAGTTGAGCACAGACATTCAAAAGGCAGTGAGTGGATGCTCTAGCTCCAGCCTAAAGAGCCCAGAGGCGCAGGAACCCTTGGAGGATGGCGGACCAGGGTGGAATATAGGGCAGCAAATCAAGCAGCGCTAACGCTGGCGAGATCTCGTGGCAGCGGGCTTGGGCGGGCCAAGAAAGGGCCAAGAGATCACTCGACGATGGTGGTATATCGTGACCGATGTAGACGGACGGACGCTGGACTGATGGATGTACTGGTGCAGAGAGAGTGAAGACCTGCCGACTCTCTGCTTTTGTTGTGGTGAGAGAGTTGATGAGATCCATGTAAAGCCTTAGCACTGCTGCTTACATCCTACCAGTACCTGTATGTACAAAGTACCGTCCAAACGGGCCGTCTCCAAAAATAGCAGATTGAGGCCCAGCTCAGCCAATACGTGCGCCGCTGAATGAACCTTTAAAGCCAACCTTGTCCTCGCTCTCATTTTTGTATGGGCCAGAGGCAGAGCCAGAGCAGAGCGACTCGGTTATCCGATCCATTCCGGACTTCGTATTAATTTGCTCTCCCTCCAAATGAGCCGCCGCAGCTGCCAGATACGGCAATACAGCGAGGCAGAGAATGGCCCAACTCGGCGCTTGGGGGGCCCCATGGATGCATCTTGCGCATGCAGTACATGGCCCATGCCCTGTAATGCCATGCTTCTCCGCATCAAGGCCCGCCCGTAGTAGTAAAAGACGGACAGACAGACAGACAGACGATACGAGGTCGACATATTAATCTTCTCACCTGGGCAGAAGTCTGTTTTTGAATGGGTAGCAACAGTAAAGACAGCACAGCCTACGTGTAGACGTAGGTACTCCGTACTTGTACTCGTAGATGCAAGATTTCCTTGCTCATTTTACCCGGCCAACCGACCAGCATGCCCTCGCAGGTATCTTTGCACGCGTCATGAGCGGCAGTGGTACCGGCCGGCGTATCATCCCAACATGCCAATCCCTCTGCCCTCCAGCAAGTAGCGCCAGCCCATCACCAATTTTTGCGCCACCGCTCCAGTTTATTCCCCAGTTCTCACACTCTCGCATCTTCATCGTCCCAA